ACATTGGTGGATGTGCAGGTGAACGAGCCTCTGATAGTGTGGCTGATGTTATTAGGCCCTGTGATGGTGTCCCCTGAATAGATATGTGGGCACAATTGGCAACGGGCTTTGTTGCAAGGATAAGTTCCTGGGTTAGTGGTTCTGTTGTGTGGTATGTGGTTGTTGGTGAGTATTTGCTTCAGGTTGCGGGGCTGTCTGTAGGCAAGGACTGGCCTGTCTCCCAAGACTTGTGAGAGTGTTGGGTCATCCTTTAGGATAGGTTGTAGATCCTTAATAATGCGTTGGAGGGGTTTTAGTTGGGGGCTGAAGGTGACCGCTAGTGGCGTTCTGTTATTTTCTTTGTTAGGCCTGTCCTGTAGTAGGTAACTTCTGGGAACTCTTCTGGCTCTGTCAATCTGTTTCTTTACTTCTGCAGGTGGGTATTGTAGTTGTAAGAAAGCTTGACAGAGATCTTGTAGGTGTTTGTCTCTGTCTGAGGGGTTGGAGCAAATGCGGTTGTATTGCAGAGCTTGGCTGTAGACGATGGATCGTGTGGTGTGGTCAGGGTGAAAGCTGGAGGCATGCAGGTAGGAATAGCGGTCAGTAGGTTTCCGGTATAGGGTGGTGTTTATGTGGCCATTGTTTATTAGCACTGTAGTGTCCAGGAAGTGGATCTCTTGTGTGGACTGGACCAGGCTGAGGTTGGTGGTGGGATGGAAATTGTTGAAATCATGGTGGAATTCCTCAAGGGCTTCTTTTCCATGGGTCCAGATGATGAAGATGTCATCAATATAGCGCAAGTAGAGTAGGGGCTTTAGGGGACGAGAGCTGAGGAAGCGTTGTTCTAAATCAGCCATAAAAATGTTGGCATACTGTGGGGCCATGCGGGTACCCATAGCAGTGCCGCTGATCTGAAGGTATACATTGTCCCCAAATGTGAAATAGTTATGGGTAAGGACAAAGTCACAAAGTTCAGCCACCAGGTTAGCCGTGACATTATCGGGGATAGTGTTCCTGAGGGCTTGCAGTCCATCTTTGTGTGGAATGTTGGTGTAGAGGGCTTCTACATCCATAGTGGCCAGGATGGTGTTATCAGGAAGATCACCGATGGATTGAAGTTTCCTCAGGAAGTCAGTGGTGTCTCAAAGGTAGCTGGGAGTGCTGGTAGCGTAGGGCCTGAGGAGGAAGTCTACATAGCCAGACAATCCTGCTGTCAGGGTGCCAATGCCTGAGATGATGGGGCGCCCAGGATTTCCAGGTTTATGGATCTTGGGTAGTAGATAGAATATCCCAGGTCGGGGTTCCAGGGGTGTGTCTGTGCGGATTTGATCTTGTGCTTTTTCAGGAAGTTTCTTGAGCAAATGCTGTAGTTGCTTTTGGTAACTCTCAGTGGGATCATAGGGTAATGGCTTGTAGAAACTCGTGTTGGAGAGCTGCCGAGCAGCCTCTTGTTCATATTCCGACCTATTCATGATGACAACAGCACCTCCTTTGTCAGCCTTTTTGATTATGATGTCAGAGTTGTTTCTGAGGCTGTGGATGGCATTGCGTTCCGCATGGCTGAGGTTATGGGGCAAGTGATGCTGCTTTTCCACAATTTCAGCCCGTGCACGTTGGCGGAAGCACTCTATGTAGAAGTCCAGTCTGCTGTTTCGACCTTCAGGAGGAGTCCATCTAGAATCCCTCTTTCTGTAGTGTTGGCAGGGAGACCTCTGTGGATTAGTATGTTGTTCAGAGGTATTTTGGAAATATTCCTTGAGACGGAGACGTCGAAAATAGGATTCTAGGTCACCACAGAACTGTATCATGTTCGTGGGGGTGGAGGGGCAGAAGGAGAGGCCCCGAGATAGAACAGCTGCTTCTGCTGGGCTGAGAGTATAGTTGGATAGGTTAACAATATTGCTAGGTGGGGTGAGGGAACCATTGCTGTGGCCCCTTGTAGCATGTAGTAGTTTAGGAAGTTTAGTGTCCTTTTTCTTTTGTAGAGAAGCAAAGTGTGCGTTGTAAATGGCTTGTCTAGTTTTAGTAAAATCCAGCCACGAGGAAGTTTGTGTGGAAGGTTGGTTCTTTATGAGAGTATCCATTTTTGAGAGCTCATTCTTAATCTTTCCCTGTTTGCTGTAGAGGATCTTGATCAGGTGATTCCGCAGTTTCTTTGAGAGCGTGAGGCACAAGCTGTCAGCATAGTCTGTGTGGTATGTAGATTGTAATGGATTTTTTACCTTCAGTCCTTTTGGTACGATGTCCATCTGTGTGTGGGGGGGTGGAGGGTGAGAAAACCTGGATTTGTGCTGGAAATGGCCCACCTCTTGATCACTTTAGATAAGCTATTACCAGCAGGACAGTGGGGTGGGAGGAGGTATTGTTTCATATTCTCTGTGTGTATATAAAGTCTGCTGCAGTTTCCACGGTATACATCTGATGAAGTGAGCTGTAGCTCACGAAAGCTCATGCTCAAATAAATTGGTTAGTCTCTAAGGTGCCACAAGTACTCCTTTTCCTCTTCACTTTGTTTCTTTAGTCTGTCACGTGGCCTCTTGACTAATCCACTTGGGCTGAGAGATGTTGAATGTCTGTAAGCTTCTCTCTCTCCAGAGTGTTTGATGTAAGAGGCTGGTGGGGCACTGAAGAAAGTTCTTGGTTGGTAAATTATTGCTGACATTTGTCTCAGAGTGAGTTGCAAACAGTATTGCTAAACTAGGTCTCCTTTTTTCTCTCTGGCAAAGCTGATGTTTATTGCTTCAAAGTGGGGACAAGACATTGCTCCTATAATTTCAACTGAATTTTTAACACTGATTTTTATCTTGGTGCACTTGGTCTTTGATATTTGCTGGAATGTGTTTCTCTCCCCTTTGGTGTAATTGTTTCCCTTTAAATGGGAGCAATGGAACGTTAAAGCACAAAGAACAGGAAATGGACACTGCAATGTCTTCTAATTATTCATATTTAACAGGAAAAACCTTTTTTCTTGGATAGTTTTATTTCTCTGTGGAAAACCTGTTATGAAGGAGCTGAGATAAGTATGTTCTGATGCAGCTAGTGATTCTGCAGTTCTAAAAGGCCTTGCCTACATTAGGAAATACCCAACCTTAGCCAATGTTGAAAACAGTTCAGTTGGCAATATAGATGAGTCAAAACCATTTTCAGCACCATTACAGAAAATGAGATATGGTTCTGCTTAGTCTCGCTCTGTATTATAATAATAATGCTGAAAATGGTTTTTTATTGCATTGACACTTCCAGTGAACCTTTCTTTAGCACTATTTCCGGTGGATCCTTGCTGATAATTGTCATCAGCAATTGTTCCGATTTTTAATGGAGAAGGGAAGGTTCTGTGGTTAATTCTGTGGGTCACAGCTTGGGCAAATTTTTTGGACCAAGCAGATGATTTTATTTAGGAACTGAAATATCTATTTGAATAGAATATTGGCAGTAGACTAAATCTTGTGCACTGTGTTCATTCTACTAGTTCTAGCACAATCATCAAGATTTGCCCATTTATGGACAATGGATTTAGGTCTCTTCGACCTTGGGCTCACTGAGTTACAGGTCTGCATCTCAGTACAAATATAATGTGCTGAAATGTGAGGATGAAAAAGCATGTTTATTGTATCGTTTTTAATATAAAGTGCTATTTTCCTGTTGCATAACAAGCATGCATAACAAGCTGAGATTCTAATCACCATAGTTGCATGGCAGCAGTTCCTTCACTGCTTCAATCCCTCTTGCTCTTTCCAATGTATTGACATTGATCATTTAAGGGAGGAGGACCTCAGACTCATTATTTGTATTATGGGAGGCAGTATTGTCTAGTGGATGGAGCCGTGGGCTGGGACTCGATAGATCTGGGTTCCATTCCCAGCTCAGCTACTGGGTGACCTGGGGCAAGTCACTTCACTTCTCTGTGCTTCAGTTTTCTCATCCATAAAATGGTGGTAATGATGTGTACCTCCTTTGTAATATGCTACGTACGTGCTAGGTGGTATTGGTGGTATTATGCCAGTCATGGAAACGGGGTCCTAGTCATGGAAAAGGGCCCCATTAGGCCAAGCGCTGTACACTCATACAAAGAAGGTGGTCCCTGCCCAAAAGAGTTTATAATCCAAGTATAAAATGAGAGACAACAGGTAGATGCAATGAACAGACGGGCGAGGCTTACCCCTATTATCTCCATTTGGTGTGGGGTAAAAAGACAGGACACGCATTTATTTTAAAAAAGTAAAAATTCCTAGAACAGAGATTTAAACCCACAATCCAGAGAGATTTAAAAATATTTAAACCACATTGCACTGTGTAACTTGGAGCGTCACAGGCTTTTGCTAAAGCAGTAGCCTGCCCCAAATCCCGTGGGCTCTCCCTAGGGCTGCTCTTGCAGTAGTTTTGCACTAGCTATGGGAAGAGCTTTGAACAGAAAGCTCCTGTAACTAGTGGCTTTCACTGAAACGTGAAACTTGATTTTCGTGTTAAAACATTTATAAAATTAACTTTTGGCCTTTAAATGGTTCTTTTCTATAATAATTTCTCCTTAATTTTTGTTGTCTAATAGAATGTGCAGTTCATACATGGACTTTGCACTGCGCTCAGGCTGAGTTTGAGGCTTTTTTGGTCTTTAATGCTAAAGCACAACTCTCCGTGCCCACTTGTCTTCGATAAAAGTGACTGCGTGTTTCCTAATATTGCGAGTATGGAAGTAGTTTTTGATGATAGCTCAGTGGTTTGAGCATTGGCCTGCTAAACCCAGGGTTGTGAGTTCAGTCCTTGAGGGGGCCATTTAGGGATCTGGGGCAAAAATTGGGGATTGGTCCTGTTTCAGTCAGGGGGTTGGACTAGATGACCTCCTGAGGTCCCTTCCAACCCTGACCTTCTATGATTCTCTGAAGCACAAATGGTGCAGTTTGGGATGTAGTACTGCAGAAGGAGTCAAAGACCTGGGGTAGCTTTCACATTCTCAGTAGTTCAGTCCTTGAGCAGTTATTTAGATATCAAGTCAGAGGCTCATGCTTTTATTTATTTATTTTCAGCTTCATGTTTCCTGTAGCAGGTGGTATCGGCCCGCCTCAAGGTAAGTATGAACTTCAGATTCTGAACTTTTAGTTGCCCTTTCTTTGTGTAGACGTTAATGTTAAGTAATCAAAGTCAGATGTACAGTAACTTTGCATTTTTTCCTGAAGTTTAGAATTGGGAATATTAAGCTCACCTCTTAGCTATGGTTTTTTACTTCTTCCCTCCTACTCAGTAACATTACTCTGAATCTTATATCTTTATTTACAAAATTTCCCATATAACTAATATTGTATCTCACTGGGAAGGCAGTGTGCTCGGTAGGTTAGACCAGGGGACTGAGAGTCCAAATTTCTAAGTTCTGTTCCTGACTATATCATTGGATTACTGTATGAACTGGGGTAATGCATTTAACCTCTGTGTACTTCAGTCTACCAGTCTGCATGCCTATATCATGTGGGTGTTGTGAGGCCTAGTAAATATTTGCAAAGCATAGTGAGAACCTTGAACAAGAGGCATGACATAAGTACCAAGTATTATTAAAACTCAAGAAACCTCAACCTTAAATAACTTTTATTCTGATTCCTGAGTCAGTTACTTGTTTAACTAATGGAAAATATGGGGATGGCTGGAGGTCCATCACTAAGTACTGATTGGCTCAGTAATATGCTGCTGTAGCTTCACTGATAATTCCTGAGCCAATTGCATCCTTTCTCAGGCAATTGTACCTGTAATGTTAAAGTATCCATGGCTATACTTATTTCATTGGTAGTGAATATGTTGTAATTAGTCTGTGTCTGCTAAGATAACATTCTAAAATTATTACATCTCTGGTTTAATCCTTTTAGTTTTTCTCAGTGAATTAATACATTTCTGGCTGATTTGTCCAATCTTATTTAAATCCAGCTTTTTTTGAAAGATTTTTCATCTGGTTAAACCTTTTATATGGGGTAAACACTCCTGCATGCACACAAGTTGTCCAGTCAACTGAGAGTGTAAAAGCTTAGTTGTGGACAAGATGTACCAGTAATGCCTAGTCAGTCATATAAAGTATGTTATAAGAAATAATCCTTTCAGGAGAATCCTGGAGTGGGCTACCAGGACAAATCGGTTATTTTTTTGGAAACTACAGTTTTAAAATCAAAGAAGGGAAGAAAACCCCAAGTTTCTCTCAAAGAGCAGTTGCGATGGAAGGAGCGCCCTCTGCTTAACTTGTGGAGATGTCCTGGAAGGCTTCTTTTCTTAAAATGCAAGATGCTTCTGTTGCTGCCTGTCTTGTAGTACATTCTATGCACCAAATCACCCTTGAGTAAAGAGTCCTTGTATTAACTTAAGCAGAACTGCCAGTTGCTTCTTCCTTCCCTCTATCGGTTTAATTTGAAAGATGAACGTTAGAACCAACTGGGGACTTAATCAGCGTTTAATGTTCTGGTGTAGGTATGATTCCTATTCAACAGCAAGGGTTTCCAATGGTATCTGTCATGCAATCTAATATGCCAGGCATGATGGGAATGAATTACGGCTCTCAGATGTCTCCGGGACCGATGACCATGCAGGTATGTGAAAGTAACATTTGTTTTCAGTAGATGTGATATGAAATAGATACTTGAATGTATATGTCAGTGAGGCTGTTGACAGCTGACCCCTGACAGAGGTCCTGGGACCTGCTGCTGAAGTCAGAAGTGTCAAGGGTTCTGCTGCTGCTGGGGTGGAAGGATAGAGGAGAAGGTGAACTCAGAATGAAGAGAGAGGCAGTAGCCCAGAGGCAGGTGTCTTTATTGCATTGCATTTTTTTGGCTTCACAACCTTCTCTCTGAAAGTATTTTATAATTGCCATGACCCTTGTGGGGTTCTGTAAATCTCCTTGTGATCTGGATAATCAGCGTGGGGAGCGGGTGCTCAGCGTGCATTATTCACTGTCGTAGCTAGGAACAATAATGAACCAGGGTATGGGAGAGAGAAAACATTGGTAATGCTTACAATAAAGTGGGTATCGTAGTTTTCTCTTAGATGTCAGAACTTGGACTTCTACTTCTTTGTATCTGTTGCTGCAGTAAACACAGCTAAGAGAGAGGCCCTTCTGCAGGAGGGAAGATGGCACTGAACAGTAATTGAAACAAAACTGTCAGAAGGAGAGGAAGTTTGGAAACCATTCCTTGTGTTCAATATTCCTGATACTTTTCAGAGTAACAGCTGTCTTAGTCTGTATTTGCAAAAAGAAAAGGAGTACTTGTGGCACCTTAGAGACTAACCAATTTATTTGAGCATAAGCTTTCGTGAGCTGGAAGTGAAGAAGGAAGTGAGCTGTAGCTCACAAAAGCTTATGCTCAAATAAATTGGTTAGTCTCTAAGGTGCCACAAGTACTCCTTTTCTTATTCCTGATACTGCCTTGAGTATGGTTCAGTGTTTAGTGTTAAATAGCTTCTATCATCTACAACTCCAACAGCACATTCTATTTTGTCTTTTTACCTTGTTTCTATTTTCTATTACCTTTCTATTTCCCCTTTGCTTTATATTCATAACTATTCACTGTCTACTAAGACAGAATATTATCCAGCATTTGAAATGAGCTCGTTTTCGGGAACATCCTTTGGCCTGTGTTCATTATACTTACTAGGATCACCCATGTTGTGATTTCAGCTTTGTATCTTTTTTTGTCATTTATATATACTAGTTACCTATAGAATATTGTAAGCATACGTGGTGGTTCACAAATTAATCAAACAGGGCCCCAGGGAACGGATAACATTTTGGACGTTTCTTTAATACTGTAAATGCCCTCCCTTTTGATCAAATCAGTTTTCCAAATTGTTCTTCCTCCTGCAGTTTTTGTATTGAATTTCTCTCCTTTTTGCATGCTTGAAGTAACTTTCCACCTACATAACTCCTCATAATCTTCACAAGGTTTCTTCCCACACTGTGGGGTGGGGTGGGTGGGAGTGCATTTTATATAGCTAATTGCTGAGAAGTAATATTACAGTATAGTGCACAGCATGATGTGAGGAACTTAACACTTGGGGGCGGGGGGTTGATAGTTTTTGAAGAAATATATCTCATTTGTTTATCCTCTAGTGCCCACCACTCTTACTTGTAAATCTCCACTTGTCTAACCATGTAAACGTGAATCTAATAAAGTTGCGATATATAGTAAATTGAATATAACTATATATTTTTGCCCTCATTTGCTTTAATGGATAATGAATTTTACAGAACTGTAGAAGAAAAATATATTTTTCAGGGGATTTGGTTAGAAATAATAAAAGATAAGACATTTACTGCTTTCACTTGCTGATTTTTTAATACAACAGCAATGATAACAGTAGCTTAATTTATGGACGAAAATCTCATCATCTATTGACATTAAAACTATAATGAAATATTGTTACATATCATAGGGTAGTTTCAAGCATAAGCTACCTAATAAACTTAACTAATATAGTTCTTATGTTAAAATAAAATGTAGTTTTGTTCAGGGGAACCTGAAAACAAGTGTTATAACTGTGACCCAACTGAAAATGGGCTGGCCAAAGATCTGTCCATACAACTAGCAATATCTTGTTAATGTTTAACTTAATCAGTGCATGTATAAATTGATCCTGGAAACATAATAGTTTAGGAATTGGTTATATTGGAATATATGTAAAAGAATCCCATAACATTTGAAGAAATAAATTTTATAAAATCACTAGATTTTATTTCCTAAAGCAGTGAAAATAATAATTTACCCAAGTCAGGGAAATTTTGTTTATGAAATGTATGTATGTGTACTTACACATGCGTTTCATACAAATGGATCCAAAAGTAATTGACACGCTTTATTGACTATTCAAACTACATGTCTAGGAATTATCTTGTACACCGCTTGTGTGGAATGTGAATTTTTTTTTAACACAGCACAAACGCTGCACGGTAGTTTAGGATAGGAAGGAAAATAAAATAAAATACTGAAGTTAAAAGGGAGACTTTGTGGGTCATGACACTTGAGTTAAGATCCCTACTCTTGAGAAAAATTTCATGGATTTTTTTAATTGTGTAGTCAGGATTATGATTTTTTTTGTCCAAAAATCCAGCACCCTCCTAGTACCATCTGGGACAGTGCCGCTCAACCTTTCCAGACTACTGTACCCCTTTCAAATAAATCAATTTGAATATAAATATTGTATTCACATTTCAGTATATACTGAATAATAACAAGTCATTGTCTGTATGAAATTTCAGTTTGTTCTGACTTTGCTTGTGCTTTTTACATTGCCTGTTGTAAAACTAGGCAAATACCTAGATGAGTTGATGTACCCCCTAGAAGACCTCTGCGTATCCCCAGGGGTATGCAGACCCCTGGTTGAGAACCACTGGTCTAGGAGCATTGGTTCGGTCCTGACTGAGAGGAGGGCTACCTGCTGAATAACCTGTGGGTTTTTTTTTGTTTCAGTGCATAACACCTGGATTGTCTCTGGAGGTCTCGTGTCCAAGTACTGAGCAGACCTGGCCCTGCTTATTTTTATGGCTTCTAACTAGTTCACAACCTGACATAGTACAGATGCTGGATTTTTATATTGCTGTACATAATATAGACTTATTTTATTGTTATAGGGTGGCATGCCCCTTGGGGCTATGCAAGCAACTGGAATGTCTTTTATGGGACAGGCTTCTTTCTTAGGAATGCGCCCAGCAGCTCCACAATACACCCCCGACATGCAGAAACAGTTTGCAGAAGAGCAGCAGTAAGTGATGCTTTAATGCTGCTGGCAAAATCTTATTTGGGGTGGGGGAGCATTCTCCAGCTCATTTTGTGCATTTAAAAACTACCATCCTATCCTAGAAACATTCCTATTGAATTTAGGATTCTAAAATGTTAAGTTAGCTGCAGACCATTCCATTGTCTGTGAAGGCTGTGTATGAGGTTCATGATGGCATATGCTATATTCTACCAGTTTTATGAGACTGTGGCAAAGTGTGGTGCCAAAGCATCTATGTGAAAAAGGGAAGGAATGTGAAACCCAAGTTACCAATATTCAGAAGGTTGGCATGGAAGTTGTCATCAAATAACGCTTAATTTTTATGTTTGATATTGTTTCACTTTAGAAAAAGGTTTGAACACCAGCAAAAATTCTTAGAAGAAGAGAGAAAACGACGCCAATTTGAAGAGCAGAAACAAAAGCTAAGACTCCTAAGCAGTGTGAAACCGAAGGTATATCGTAAATAACATTTATTGATTTTCAGATTAAAAAAACCCAAACCTGTGGCTTTCATGTATTAGGGAAGAAATAGATCCTTCTTTCGTACACCTTCCCAGCCGAAGGCCAGATCTGAAGCCTGATGAAGTCCAATGGGAGTCTAGCTATCAGTGAACTTTGTATCAGGCCTCTTGAAAACATCTGGTATGTTTAACCCTTTGTACATAGCACCTCTCTTGGTGCTATGTAATCAAAACAAGACAAATGTGGTATTGCAAAATGAATCCGTTTCCTTTGTTGTCTTGATAACTTCACCCTTCTGCATCTTCCTGCTGCTCTAAGGACAGACTGTCTTCTCTGCTGCTGTAACATTTGTAACCAGACGGAAATGGTGCTTTTTATAGTAGTGCCTCTTTTCCTGCCACTGTGGTCTGAGTAGGTGAACGTTACAAGACTTTGACCCAGGTCTGAGGAAAGAGAATCCCTTTTTTCTCTCAATGGTAGCTCAAGAAACAATCCGTTTGCTTTTGAAAAAGAAAACAACCTAGTTTGGGAACAAAATAGGTTTCTACAATATGTAAAAATGTCGATATGTTCATTAGTTGGAGTCCTTGCTCTCAAGTTGTGGCACAGTTCAAGTGAATACTATTGTACTGATCTCAAGGGCCAAATGAGTTAAGTGTTTATAAACTACTTTCGTGTCCACCATTAAAACAGTGATACATTGGTTCAGGGTTTTTTTTCTGCAGAGGCTGTGGTTTATTTGGTTCCTTAACAAACACCCAAAAGCATTCATTCTGAAGTTGAAAGTTTATTGATAAACCACAAGAAATTAAAACTGCCATTTATACTGAAGCTGGAATTGAGTGTTTATGCAAAACAAACTTAATTAAAACCTACTAAAGTCTCTTTCCTTTTGGAGGCAAAATATCAGTCATTTGTTTAAGCAACAGCATTTCTTTGATGAAAAGGAAAGAGCTAATTTTACACTTAGTCCTGATGTGTGAAAGGTTTTCACTTATGTTTTTAAGAGACAGACACAAGGTGGAGGAGAAAGAGGACAGAAAAGGTGGGGGAATATGGCTTTTGTTGATGTTTTTGGTACACTGGATAGGTGGTCAGTTACAAATGGATGCTCTGGCTGGCAGGTCAACTGCTCTACCTGTTGCTTGGGCCCTGGTTTATATTTCAATCAGGGATGTTATCTGAGTCTTTTCCCCTTAGGGTAGGATTGTGGTCATCTCAACTTGCTGTGCTGGTACAGTGCAGTTGATTTCAGGATTTGATGAAAAGCCAAGAGAGTCAGAGAGAGAATAGGAGGAATGAAATGGGTGCAGAATGTAACACAAAGGGAGGGGAGACAGAACAGGATCTTACATGCCTCTGTAGCGCTGAAAATTGTGCATCCCTGTGATGGGCTGAGGACTATATGATTTTCAGGACTCACAAGTGAAAAACAAAAGTTCTTGAACAAGAGCAAGGCCCAATGGCTTCCCTGTCTGGAAGAAAGTCTTTCGATTTGGTCTGCTCCGTTTTGGGGTCATGGAAGATGAGATGAGCTGGGATATATTGGGGCAGGTGATGAGATTTTTTTCAAAGGCTCTCTTTAAGAACCCAAAAAAAGGGAAAAGGTGTGTGGCATAGCACATCCCTTCATTATTTTGTGCACCAGTGAGGCTTAATATTCACCACACCAATTCTGGTTAATTAATTTCCTGCTCCACATCTTCTGTTTTTACCAAGAATGATTTCCACAATGCTTGAACGATATATGATTTCCACAATGCTTGAACCTTTGCTGTTGTCATTGTGTAGCCTATTGAATAAATTCTGTTGTAAGTAAAGGGGTTTCTGTTTATTGAAGCCATCACTGGAAAATGGAGCTTAATTTGTATGATTTTATTTTTAACAAACATTGCTACTTTTTCAGGCAAAACAATTGTAAATGTTGGAAGAAGATTCTGAGTTGTACTGTGACACTTTCAAAGCAACTTTTGTCATGTTTCAGACAGGTGAGAAGAGCAGAGATGATGCTTTGGAAGCTATTAAAGGAAACTTAGATGGGTTTTCAAGAGATGCTAAAATGCACCCCACTCCAGCATCGCATCCAAAAAAAACAGGTATTTTATCTTTAGTTGAAAATAAGTCTGAAATATTATACTGCTTCATGTCCATAAGGACCTTTAATTCATGGAGTTGTTTTGTATTCAGGCAGTCTGAGCTCAACTGGTTATTGCATACGATTCAGTAAACTGAAGCTTTCATTGTAGCTGCAATATGCTTTATAAAATTCATGGGTAAAAGTTGTGATCTAATATTTTGTCAAAGAACTTGTTAAGCTTTCGTTTAAAAATATCAATCTGACAACTTTAGTTTGAATATTAACACTGAGCTGTAGCATCTACCAACTTCCCTCATAGGCTGCACTTCTAAATGTTACAATTGAGTTTTTTTCCTTGTCAAATGACTAATTAGTGTTTGTAGAATGCTTTGAAGCTGAAAAGCACTATATACATGCTAAATTGTATCAAAACACTATAAAATTAGGTTTCAGAGTAACAGCCGTGTTAGTCTGTATTCACAAAAAGAAAAGGAGTACTTGTGGCACCTTAGAGACTAACCAATTTATTTGAGCATAAGCTTTCGTGAGCTACACGAAAGCTTATGCTCAAATAAATTGGTTAGTCTCTAAGGTGCCACAAGTACTCCTTTTCTTTTTACTATAAAATTATTTCACAATACTATAATAGCTTGCTCAGATTCCATTATCTGGACGTGGGTAAATTAAAAACCTTTAATAATCCATTTTCAGAGGAATTATTACATTAGTAGTAGTTGTCATAAAATATTCCCTCTAAAGAGAAAAATATTAGTTGTGGGGAACCTAACTCCTTTGTCCTGCCTGAAATGAAGCCTCAATTAGCTAAGCTTGTCCCCATCACTGTATCACGTCTGTTACTCTGAAACCTGCTATTTGTTGGTGATCTTCAAGTTGCTCACAAGTTCATGCAATAGCTTTTCGCTGTCTAGCAAGTTTGACAATTCCCTAGCAGTGTTCCTCTGAACTGTGCTACTAAAATGGTTGAGTAGTGCAAGGAACCCGAGCAGAAATCTGTTCAAATGAATGGTGATTCCCTTTCTACCTTGGCATCTTCTGAATTTTTGACAAGTGTTCCAGCAACAGATTTCCTTTTGACTCCTGTCTAAAAACTGGGCGTTTTTCCTTTGGTCGTTTACAGTAGAGATAGATCTGAACTGCAAAGTCTAAATTTATTTGGGCCCATCATCACTGATAAACACCACTGATAAGTGGAAATACCTTGAACAGAGGTGTTTGGAATGGGTTTGTTTTGTATATAAACCACACTAAATTGGTCAGCTCTGTTCTAGTGGGACCTAATTTCAAATTACAGGATAGAGATGTAGAGAGTTCCAGCTACACAGTCAGTCAGTCCTTTACATGGAGGTATGGTGGAATTGCCCACTACTACATTTCTTATATCTCCCAAACATGTTTGTGTCAGGGTGTGTTAAATCAGCTGCCAGAAATGGAAATCATTGTAGGAAAGAGATGGCAAATAAACCATCATTATGTTATACGAAAAATCAAGATGTCATTCACAGTAGCTTTCATCTGATGCTTAAATGATGGTCATTAAAACTCCATTTAAAGGAATTAATGGTGTTATTGAACATGAAGTCCTTGAGATAAATAAGGTATGTCACAATAATCCGGACTTGGAAAAAATAACTGTTGGAAAAGCAGGCTGTTGAGATGAGTTAGTTCAATAACTTGATACAGAAGATAAAAATATAGGATTTGAAAGTGTGACATGAAGTATGTTGACATTCAGCAACACAGTGCAGGATTTAAACCAACTCTGTGGAACAGAATAATGTTGCTGAGAAAAGACAGTATTTTCATGCTATTTTATTCCTATAAATGGACTGTTGTTCACACTTCTTGTTTATGTGTGGAATTTTTCTCGCATTGAAACCAGTGGTCAAAAATTCTTGGTGTTATTTCTTAAGGTGTTGCATCAAAGGAACTGTCACTTTAGTGCAGATAGTTCTGTGAAATTATGTGGTGGTGTGCTACTATGGTGAATAACTTGTCTGGAAGCTGCACTTGCTACCTCTTGTGCTTTTCATGTTTGTTTTCCTCTGTGAAAACTCACTTGGAGAGCAGTGTTTATTATGGTTAATGCACTTCCAGTTTGACCCCATACAGGCTTTCACCGAGCTGAGCCGAAACCTGTAATAAAGTACATTTTTGAAACCTTTCAAGAGACCACTTGTGGGACAGCAAAAATTTGTTGCCTGATTTTTAATTAAAGGCTGGCTTTTAGCTAAAGATTGTGTAAAATTGAAATAGAAACTGTGAAAATACATCAGTGTAATTTAAGGTGGATTTGCTGGTTTTAGGGGCCCCTTAGTTATTGTTAAGGATGTTTACAGTACATGGAATAAAGCATGACCACCTACCCTTACCTAAAAAATAGATTTATTTAAAGGCTTTGTGTAGATATAAATACGCCTAAGTGGTACAATGAAACAGAACCATTGGAGGATAAAGTGGTTTGTCCAAATGCATGTAAATAAAGTCAATGATGGTCATGCTGTGCTTGACATATACTGTGTTGCCTTGAGGGAGTGTTGCCTATGAAAGTGGTATTTTTTTCCATTATAGTTCTTGAGTCTGGCCAAATTGCTGTAGAACTGTCATTTTGTTCTACAGTAGATCTGTTTAGAATGATGTAACTTGAGTACTGTGGCCAAGATTTTCAAGAGTTACTCGTGAATTTGGGTTCCTGAATTTTTAGGTTCTCAACTTGAAACACCTTAAAGGGACCTGATTTTCAAAGGATGGGGACATATTAAAGTGTTTCAAGTTGGGCATCCAAAATCACTTTAGAATATCTTGTCCTGTAAGAATAACCTGGTGATTACTTCAAGTCTGTTTAATGTACTTTGCATATAGGTAGCACCTGTCATCTGAGTAACTCCAAGTGCTTTACCAAAGTCAATATTAGCCCTATTTCATAGATTGGGACATTGAGCCAAAGGAGGGTTTAAGTGATTTGCCTAAAGTGTAACAATAAGTTACTGGCAGAATTGAGAAAAGAATTCAGATATCCTGAGTCCCAGTCCACAACTCTAAGCACAACAGCACGGGTTACATTTGTTTTGTACTTCCTTAATATAAGAGGTGGGGAAACCTTAATACAGACTGTGGAAGTATCAAGTTTCAACCAAATGGACAAGTTATAAAAATCTGGACAAAGGGGTTTATAGCGGAAAAGGGGAGCTGAAGTGTACCTTGCATTAGTGTGGTCGATTGATAGAATGGTAAATATTCTCATTATTTTGGTCAAATAGTTCTGCATATACGTCTTACTTTTCCCAATCACTGTTTTTTACATTTAATAATTGCCATTTTTAGAAATTGTTTTCCCCACCTTTCCACCGAACCAAGTTTCTTTACCTCATTGTCTTCCATTGCGTGTGTTCATTCCATTTTACAGATCACCCTAGACCATCCCATTCTACTGTATCTGTCTCCCAACCCTCTGCTTTTCTTGATGATGAAGAATTTAGTGACTTTATACAAGGGTCTGTTGAAACCCCGCCATTGGTGCCTCAGTCCTCTTTCCAGGCTTTTCAGTCTTACCACCCTACCACGCAGGCTCGGCAACTGCTTTCAGAAAAGGCTGTAGTCAAACCTCTGCCTTCAGTCCAGATTCCAGTATCTTCCATCCTGCATGATACCATTGGGCAGGTTCCTTATTTCTCTACCTCTGCATCTTCACACACAACCCATAAAACAGGTAACCCATCCTATCTTCATTAGCTCTACCGTTGGAGCTAGTATTTACATGTAAACACTGCCTACCTTGCTTTAACACTCCCTTTTGTAATCCAATTGAACAAAACTTACATACTGTTAAATGAGAAATGGATACGTTGAAATAAGTTTGTATTAATTACTAATAAAATTCTGCTCATGTCAGTGGGGGGAAATTGGCACACTTAGCAGATAATTTAAGATCGTTCTTGTACCAAAACCTTTCTATAATTTGGGGTGGTAGCGTCCTGAACTATAGGAGAAAATAATTGATGTTGATCCTGCAATTCCTTCTCCCCTGGCCCGCGACAGGTGGCTATGTTCTAGCACATGTAAGTGGAAAATTTGTGAGAGCTCAAGGGAAGTTAAGTAGGATGCATGTAACTCTTCATTATAAACAGCTGAGTCTAAAGCCTCTTATGTGCCATCTCCTTTACTCATAAGAGGCTGAAGTGGGCGGGAAAATAGAGGTGAAAGATGAGGATAAACATAGACCGTGTTATGCTAATGCGGAGCTTGACTTCACATTTCCCTCTCGGGGCTGATCCAATGGATATAAAGACTCCCATAGACTTCAGTGGGCATTGGATCAGGCCCTTAGCCCTTGTTCCTGCTACTAGTCAGGAGTGACTTGATGGCTGTGCAGCAGTAAGTGTATTTCCTGTTCTGCTCATAACAAGCACAAGAAAAAAATTACATTGCCAACCCCCTATGCTGGGCATGCTCAAGTTCTAGTAGAAGATGCTTGAGCTGAATTACATTGGTGTCCTGAGTGCGCACAGGCAGTGCTGTGGAGAATCAGCCATCAGTCACATTACTTGGTACCATGAAGTGGGACTTGACATGTCTTTTCTTTGAGGGAGTGGGATTATGATTTGGGGGGAGAATACGTACAAAGATGATTAACCAAATAAAAGTAATTCCTCCTGCTGTTTGTCTAGGCCATTCCTTGGAGGAGTCGCTCTTAATTTATGATTTAAGTGCATCTGGACAGGAGCAAACCAAACTTAAAACATCTGAAATTGAGCATAACGCCTCAGCCGCAAGCCAAGTTCATCCCAGTGTAACCGTGAATAACGGGAATGCTGTAGGTGGACTTGTAAGTGGTACCACCGCTGCACAGGTGTACAAGGCTTCACAACAAAACATAGCAGTTGAAGAGTGTGGTGAGCAAATGAAACATTTGACAAAGAATGTAGCTTGAATGCTAACATCTTACACACTAATTCTACGGCAAATGCTGCATCATTTTGCTCTGATTCCCTGCTTCAGTAATATGGCAATGCCTCTCGCTCCTGACTGCAAGTAACACATACATGAATTTACTCTGAATCCTTTCCACCATGCATATACTATAAACATTTTAACAAGTTTCTCTAAACTGATTCTCTGCTGTTTTAAAATATTCTGTCATCTTATTTCAGCAAAACCTATTCGTTTGTTATGCTTTGTGTTTTTTTTATTAATTTGGGTAGCATGGGGGAGGGTATGGACCCAAAAAACGCCACATGAGAAACTTGCTACTGTAGAATGGATCTTTACCCAACTGTGAGGGGGGGGAAATGTTCTAGTTAAGCTAAATAGTTTGTTTGGACAATATCATACAATAGCCATTGGCCTGGCACTTTTTTTTCTTTAAAGCCTGCTTTGTAGAAGTCAAAACTTCACACGCTGGACCAGATACAAATGCAATTCTATGTCAGTACTTCGTCAGTACAGTATTAACTAAGCAGGTTCTTGTTGTAGATGTGATTTTAGTATTGTTGACTATAGAGCAAACTGCAGAGAACTTTAACTGTTGAACCAAAACAGGTTAAAGGTGTTGGTTAGTATGTTTTGGTAGTGCTTTGAAGTTGTGCTTGGTGGCACCTTCACATATTGAATTCCAGGGTGTTCAAATATGGAGAGACATGGACATAACTTTGCATGGCCTCTGTTCTTGAAACACAGGTCAATTTTAAGAAATATATAGATAATTGAATTTAAAAATTCAAGCTGGAACTTTCTTAAGGGATTGTGGTGTCTTGCCAGTACCTTAGTTCAATTAATTTTTCTATATACCACCTTGATTGCTGTTTGATGACATTGCTGTTAATAGTTGGGACCTCACCAATGTGCAAAAAAACCCCATACCCACCAATTATTGGTTACAAGATGAAATTAAATCACTCTATTTTCAGATAGTGCTTTTTAGTAGCTCAAGTTATCCATTTACTCTGTAATTTGAAATAAAATACAGTTGTAATGCACACCATGAAATAAGAGCTGTATTTGTTTACAATACAGTTAATGTAAAGAGGTGATATTGTGTCTTTTGTACAAACTCCACACACTCTAGTTAGCTGCAAAGATTAAAATGGTAGGGGGAAAGAGAAATTGAGACAAAGAAAGAAGAAAAGTTATTTCTGGAAGATCTGAGAATCAGTGGAAAGTTGATGAGGCAGGAATGCAGTTCAGAAAATAAGAGCTTCAGAAAGCGAAGATTATGGCACCAACAGGTAGGAGTTGTGTGAAAGGAGAGGAGATTCTACTAGAATCAGGAATTTCATAGGTAAGACTAGAACTATGACAGGAAGGAGCCAGAGATGCCTGGTTTGGTATGGACTTTGCTTAAGAGGATGGACTTATTCACCATGACCAAGTTTAGTGAGGTGGGAGAAGGAGGCTCTGTTTCAGAAAAGCAGAAACTAGCTACGCATAGAAGAACACTTCTGTTCTGTAGCCCAACTAGAAACCCTCATTGAAAACAGTCCAGGATATTGTTAAAGGATCTGAAGGATAAGTGCAACCATTCCAAGTACTTTGAGGGAGGGAGGGTTAGCGGTAATATGGTGATATTGGGGACAAGTGAATCATCCCAAGAAGTTCCTGGACAGTGCAAACTTCAGAGAATTGGAAGTTACTAAGAGGTAATTGAATCTATTGTAAAGTAGGAAACAAGGGATGGGGAGGTGGGAGCAAATGATAGGAGAGGCAAGGAGATTTTTTAGGGGCGAGATTATATCAGAAATTTCTGGTGGAAGCAAAAATGGAAGGGAAGTAAAAGGAGAGGAGGAGGAAAAGGAGGGAATGCCTGAGGATGAGCTGTTAAGGGTTATGGAAAAGTTACATGTTAAGGCAATCTTAGATTGAAAGAAGAGATCAAATGCCTCTTACTTAGCTGGGTGAAGAGAATTGCTGGTATGGAAGAGGGGAGTGACTGTTCTTAGCAGCTTTGGAATTAGGGATAAGTAAAAATTAAACTTTGGTTTACTGGGAATCCCTGTAGAGTCTGACAGGTTTCAGAGTAGCAGCTGTGTTAGTCTGTATCCGCAAAAAGAAAAGGAGTACTTGTGGCACCTTGGAGACTAACAAATTTATTTGAGCATAAGCTTTTGTGCATGCATCCGATGAAGTGAGCTATAGCTCATGAAAGCTTACGCTCAGATAAATTTGTTAGTCTCTAAGATGTCATCAGTACTCCTTTTCTTTTTGTAGAGTCTGAGGAGGTCAAGAATAAATATGGGACATTCATCACCGCTTTTCTCAGTGCATAAGCTCACATGCACAGGGGTCCACAGGTGGTCTGTAAACCAAGTAGAACTTGAAGTATGAGAGAGCTGAAGATGGGGAAGTGTTGCAGGTAACTGTCTGGGAAAGGATCAGCAAATGAGGGAGCAAGGAAAACAGGTTGGAGAGACTAGCAGGATTAGGGTTCTTCAGAGGGAAAGGAGGGTCACTTTCTGAGCAGTCGGGTGATGGGAGAGAGTATTCTGCTGTAACCAGGCAGTGGTCAGTGGAGGGAAGATTATAAGAAAAACAAGCAATAAAAGAGCAGGTTTTATTAATCATGATGAAGGAAAGAATGTGTATGAATGGGAAAGGTGGCAGGTTAGAAAAGGGGTGAAAGGAGTTGTCACAATGTTGGTTTAAGTCTGAAGTGAAGATGAAATCTGCTGAAGGGTGAATCAGAGCAAGGACTGAGAAGGGTCAAACTTGGTGAAATCAAGGGAGAAAATTAACATAATGTTTGAATCTGGGGAGTGACATATTCAAGTTATAGGGGACTGGAGAGGGCAGAATGCGTTAGAGTTCTACAGTGACAACAGCAATGCCAACTCCTTGAGTTGAATGACTAGGTAGGATAAGGAGATGAGAGAATGGGTCTAATGGGGCAAGCCAGCCTGACGGAAGATGTTGATGGCTTTTACCATGAGCTGTTCACCTGTGAAACATAGAGAATACGTTCTAAACTTGTTTCAGTGTGATTAAATTAAATTATTCCGTAAATAGCCGTAATGTTCTTTGCCCATCAACTTTATGCAAATAGGCATGGCAGAACCACTGCTGTTTATGAAATGTTTGGAATTTATGGGACTTGTCTTGTGTTCCTGATCAAACAGATACGTTTGGACAACGAGTGGCTCTTTATTTCATCGTGTGTGTTTAACTGTATTTTTGTTGCTGTTTCAGGTCATTTTGTAGAAGTATCAGTTTTGCGTCTCTCATGTAGCCAGGTGATTCCATGTCTGAAATGGGCTGGTTGAAATACCAAAAACTGTGTCACAGGCGTTTTCCTATTTTGAATCTCTCTACTCCTAATACGATTCTTGTCTCCTTTTTAAATATAATCCATACCTTTAGGTGTTGGAGTATTCCCTTCCCAAGATCCAATCCAGCAAATGATACCACCTTGGATTTACAATGAAAGCTTGGCTCCAGGTAAAATGTTCTGCTATAATATCATTTAAAATAAAAAGTATAAAAATCCTTACACTTCAGTGTTGCTTAATGTCTTACCCAAATCAATATTTTTTTCATCTACAATAAAAACTTTCCAAATCCCTAAACTTTGTCAGGTTTGATACAGAAGCTTTCCAGTCCTGTAGTTTTTGTTCCAGGGTCATGTTGACTTGGGTCAGAGGTTCTGTGGTTCTGACAGTGAGGAATACCAGTTTATGTATGAGTATTTAAGATAGATGGTGTCCCCTTTGTTCTTACATAGTACTGTTCATATTATGACAAGTCACTATGGGATCAGAAAATACATTATTGGATTTTAAGACCAGAAGGGACAGTGATGACCATTTTCTCTGACCTCTTGCACAACACAGGCAAAAGACCTATCCGGTCATCTTGTCCTGTCCCCTGCCATTGCAGAGTTGTTGTTATTGAGTGTGACTATGAATGGTTACGCTTCCTGAAGTGCATATCCGCATGCAATGTTTAAAGGCAATACACGCATAACTGTAAGTTGTAATTTACTGAAGTAGTCATCGTACTTGCAGTCACTGATGTTTGTGTCTTAAATTTAGTATTAAACTTTGGCTGACTAATGTCAACATATATTTCTTTGAGTAGAAGCAGAAAGAGCAGCTCATGAATTTCTCGATCACTAATTTAATTTGTAAAGCAAGTTTTTTAATCACTCCTGAGAAAACTAGGTGTTTGGTGGTGTTGTCTGAACTATACATGGTATTTCTTAGATGTGGTACAGCAGCAGTGATAATGACCAAGTTCATCTGTTCCAAGTATAGCTTTGGAGAATCATGGACATGTAGGGCTGGAAGGGACCTCAAGAGGTCATCTGGTCCATCCCCCTGTGCTGAGCAGGATTAAGGACACTTAGACCATCCCTGACAGGTGTTTGTCTAACTGGTTCTGAAAGACCTCCCAGGATGGGAATTCTGCAATGTTCCTAGCTAATCTGTTTCACAATTTCAAAGATCACTAGTGTTTGTTAGGGCATTCTTAACTCATTGCACAAACTGGCAAGCATCCCAAAACATGTTTTGGGATGTCTGACACATCTTTGGTAGCTTTATCTGCATTCAGAGAAGGCAGGAGCTTCTTCAAACATAGTAAATGTTAAATCTAGAGGTTATAATGGTGGCATAGGAATTGCCATCGTTGGTATAACATTTTTGTGAGCTGTCTCCTTTCAGTATCTCTTGTAATTAAGCAGGCTCATTTCTTAAGGTTATTTGCCTTATATATGCCAAAGCATAGTAAATAGAAAATGAAGTGCTGTACTAAATATTGATTAGATTGCACTAAATTTTAACTACATAATGCTGCTCTGGCTATCTTCACACAAGGATTACCCAGAGGCCTCATTACAGAAATATGTAGTGAAATTTATAAAGAGAACTAGTTGTTTTGTGTGGATTGTTGGTTTTACTGATCAATTGATATCCAGTTTAATAAAGCAGATGTCTGTCTTAGAATGTAAGCCTTTCATTATATCTAGGTATAGAGAATCTGCTGTGGCATAGGTAATTTCCTTTAGTACTGGTGAAATAGGCAGAAGTCTTGCTGAATAGAACACGCAGAATGTGGTGTGAAGTAGCACAGTTAGCTGGCAGAGTTGTCTCCTAAATTTCTGAAAAATAACTACTGTAAGCAACTTGTTTTATTGCCCTGTGTATTGAAACTGAAGGGAATAGGATGTTTTGGCCAGATGGTTTTTGATGTAATTTGTTCATTAGAAAATAAATCAATTCAGACATTGATACTACTAATTATCTCGATTTAGGTGCAGCTTGGTTAAATTAGCATGTTATGTTTCCCTTGCAAGGGACTGGAGGATGCTTTTGACAGGCCTCAAGTTAACTGGTAGAGTTGTGCTAGAGCGTGCAGCATTTTTATTCATTTTCCTTGGGAACTTACAAATCTCTCTCCCTATCTCTTTGGGCTTTGTTTGGGGAACTTCTTTTCTTTTTCACCTGCTCCTTTGAATTTGAATGTACAGGTAGAATGAGAAGTTATAAATAGATGAAACTTCTAGTGTTATGTGTCAACTTTAACGCTGATGCCTAATCAAATTGGTAATGTTCCATGTCAACCATATTACAACCCTTAACATAGTTTTATAGTTAGAATAGAAAAATGATCTTAAAATCTCTTTAAAATGTTTACTTTCACCCTCCAACACTGTGTTTCCCTCAATAGATTTGTATAAGAAAATTTTAGAAACCACTATGACTCCTACTGGAATAGATACTGCTAAACTCTATCCCATTCTGATGTCATCTGGACTTCCCAGGGAGACCCTTGGACAAATATGGGCCTTAACCAATCGTACCACACCTGGAAAACTTACCAAAGAAGAGCTTTATACTGTCCTGGCTATGATAGCAGTAACTCAGGTACAAATGACTGAGACAGTCTTTGGGGGGAATGGAAAAGGGTCTAACCTCCTCTTGATAAACTGTCACTGACTTTTGTAATGTCCCTGCAGTATGTTGTGTATGGACAGGTGTACTTGTATTATACCACACGTTAAATACACTGAATGAATCTTGGCAAAACTCCCATTCACTTCAGTGGATCCAGGATGTCACCGTCTGCATTTATAGCTATTATTTCTTCTTCAGGACTCATTTAAGTTCGTAGTTGGCTTTGGCTTTTCTTTTATGCTGTATAACTATCTATTTAGGAAGTGATATGGGCCCCTCCACTAGATTATCTGAGTATCTGGGCAGTGGGTGAATTAGTTAATTTTTTGGCATGTGTAGTCTAGGTTTTAACTTTTGTGTCAGGTTACAGCGTAATGTCATGGCTGTTCCTAGTTTAATAGAAACTTGTCTGAAATTGCAAAAACCACCATTCAAGTTTTGCAAACTTCACTATGATCAGAAGTTGACAGAAGAAAAATCCACGAGTAGACTAGATGGGACAGTGAAGATTGGCATTGATGTACATTGTTGGAGATGTGTGGGGAAAATTTGCATAGTACTTACCCATGTTCAGTGAGCTCTAGCCAGTGCTAAATTTTGACCATTCAGATACTAAAAAAAACACGCACAAGAATTGTAAGTGACTAAAGTGAGTCTATAGATCCATATGAGATCTAGCAGTAAACTGTATGAGTTCCAGCATATTATATATGTGTAGGTTCACCTTGATCATGTAAAATTCAGTAGCTTTTTTTTGTGTGCAAAAAACAGAATTGAAGGACTGACTCCCTGCTTTTTCACAGTTTCAATAAATAAATAAAATTATTTGAGAAATAAGGGTACAGATGAAGGAAATAGAAATGTGTAATGCATATAACTATCTCTATTTTATTCCTTGTGCAGAGAGGAGTACCCGCATTGAGTCCCGATGTTTTAAACCAATTTCCAACTGCTCCTGTCCCCACTTTAAGCGGATATCCAATTTCATTGCCCGCCACAGTGAGTCAACAGTCTATGAGGCCCTCTGGACCGCCAGTCTCCATGCCTCTTCATATTGGACAGGCAGTCATAGGAATAAACATAACTGCACCAGTGGGTGGCGCTGCAGCACAGGCTTCTAGTGGTTTCATGCCATCTTACCCCCCAAACCAGGTTAGTGCTGTTTCTATAGCATAGTAAATCTGTATAATCATTGAAAGAGAATTACAGGGGAACTCTGTTTCAAAGCTGCATAATGACAACTGGATTTTAAGTAAACATTAAAAATGAAACTGAAATCTAGAGCATGCCCATTTAAATATGCAAGACCATGCTGTAGCAAGCTTCTTTGATGTTTCAGTCTCTCAGATGGCATTAGAAGAGCTAGACAAATTTCTTCTCCCTTCCTAAGCTCTTGCATCCCGAGAAAGTTCTCTACTTAGTTCCTTTTTTTTTTTTTTACAACATTTGAAGTGGAATTACATGTAAACTAAACAAGACCTTTGTTATCTGGCTAGTACAACAGAAATGAGACCATCACAGGGAGAACTGAAAGCTGTGTACCAGTGATAGAAAAGATTATCCAAATTTTCTGGAAGCATAAATTGATCTTGGTGATCAATTTTGCTATTCAAAATTCAATTTGCCCAGCATCCACAGCATATTCCTTTTGATGTTTTGCAGCATATACTGATTGATTTTTTTTTTCTTCCATGATGTTCTTCCTCTATTCAAAGATGACTTGGCTAAGATCAAGTATAATACATTAATGTCTGGGATGAAGTCCTTTATTAACAGATGTCTTCCATATCTACTGAGATCCTAAATACACTTTTTGTTTTTGTGTTGTTGGAAGGGCACCGTGGAGAACAGAATCCTTGCAAATAGTTCCCATTTAGTTATACAGCTAAAAGCAAAAATATTACTTCTGATTCAAAGACAGTATTAATGAAAATATACCACTACTAATATGGTGCGTTACATCTTCACCACACTGTACAACATGAACTTACCTGTGTTGTTTGGTACAATCCAAAATGCTTAATTCTAAGTCTCTCAGTTTCTTGCAACGATAGAGGAAAATTGACACCACTCAAGCAAATTCGTGGGTGTTGTACCTTAAAGGTGATAGTGCTTGTAAAAAAAAAAAAAAATCTGCAAACAAACTAATTGAAATCCATGTTTTAACTGAACTAACATTTTTGAATGCCTTGGAATTGTACCTAATATCCAGCTGCGTCCCTGCTGCCCTCCCTCTTTTGACTGATGGGTTTTATGCCACTGCCTATGCGACTTGTGTAAACTTTGTTCATACTGATTTAGATGTATAGCGTACTGGGGGATCACCATATGCAGCCTACTAGTGTTGTCTGTTAGTTCTCAGTGAAAAAGCAGTCTCAACTGCAACTGCTCAGCTGTTTTAACTCTCTAATATTATGCTGTTATTGTTAAAAAGAATGGTTAATAGAAATGCATAATAGAGAAATGGAAGACAAGGTATAAATTTACCTTCAGACTTCAGAAGTAATAAAACCAAAAGACCCTGCATCTCCTCTCTTACTGCTCAAAGAAGGCTCTAATTAGAAACCTCTTTAATGGGCCCCTGTAGTGTCTGATCATCAATCCCATACATGGATTTAGAGTGGGGTAACAGCAAGTTATACCTAAACTAGCTGGCATGGTTCTCCTGACCAGATGTTCTGTGGTAGTTTCAGATCAATTGAATTAAATGTGAAAATGAATAATACACTTGCTTCAATATCCCCTCTGTTTTTTTAATGTGATGGTAAATTCAATTTTTTTATGCTGCCCCTCAAGTTTTAATGTTCACTGTGCAACTTGACTTTGTATTAAAATGTGTAAAAAATATCAAAGTTGTCAGGAGGAAGCTGGAGATTTTGGCTGTTGGATAGGGGCAGTGGGGAATTTTTTTGGAAAGGGGTAGGAGATAGTTTGGGTGTATGATTTAAGCACAGTAGCTGAATGTTGTAATGCTCAGTCTTGAGAGAGTTAATACTGTTTACAATGGAAATTTGCACCGTTGGATTTTAGGATTTAACCCTCCATTGAGAAGAATGGGGGCAGATTACATGGTTCAGAACTAATATTCAGGCTGTCTGCAGATTCAGAGAGATAGTAATTCATTGATTTATACTGTCTGTATTTGGAAGGTTATCATTGCTGTTGGGCAGGTTATTTTCACAAGCATAAGGGCTCAACACTTTTTTCTAAGTGAGTTTGGGTTCTGAAACCTAGTTCTGCAGCAGAAAGTATAGTGTGAGAACGTAAACACAGAGGCATGCTTTAAGCAACAACTAGACTGCTCTCTAACCAGGAAGTTCCTATATTTATTAAGATTCCCATTGCCATACATCCTGGTCCTCTCTGGTAACTGCAGGACCAGGAACTCTATAATCACTCCACATCTCCCTTTCTTTATAATGAAAAATTAAAACTTAAATTGTAAACCAATTCATATACACACACATTCAGAATAGTTTAAAGGAATTTGAAGCTTATTTACACTATGTCCCCTTGTCTGTTGCTTTTAAATATCCCTGAGGAATAGTCTAATGATCAAGTCTTTGAGGGATCTGGTCAGTCTTCCAGATCATGTTCTCATTTCTATTGAGTTTGTGCATGGAGTTCCCTGTGGAGGGGGCTCACTTCCAGAAATGCCAGGAGTGTTTTATATGTTTCTACTTATTTTTGCAGAAGTCTTTTTTTTTAAACTCTGCACTGCTCTCTCCACCTTTCTATTGCTCTGGGGGTAATGTAGACTTCTAGTATGATGGTCAAAGTCCTGTGCAAATGTTAGGAATGTTTCAGAGGTAAAGTGAACTCCATTAGCAGATAAGAGGACTTCAGGAACTCTGTGTCTTACAAATACACTGGACCCTTGCTAGAATGTGGGATTTGGGATCCATGCACAGTACCGCTTTAACGCGGGGACCACATTAAAATTAAATGGAATTAAAGTAATTAAATTTGGGATCCATGGCCGTGACTGCGTTATATGCGAATTCGCGATATATAGACGTGCGTTCTAGCGAGGGTCCGGTGTATTGACTTTAGTTTCTGGATGGTCTGTGTAAGTATAGCCAAGTCAATATAACTGGAGAAGTAAATGAGTATGTAAATGTATGAAAAACAAATCTGTGGCTACCTGATACCAAGGTCTGTCAGGTAGCTTTACAGAGAGTAGTGGTTCTGGCAGTTTTTTTTTTTTTTTTTTCTTGTTACATATCTCTCGGTGCTCTACTAAGGTCTGAATTTACCTATTCAGACCGGGCCACCATACTGATTATTGTGCTTGTGTCCTACACTTGTTTATATCTTTGTGACCCTCATGAATTTTGGAGGGCATCTCTTTCTGAAGTACTGTTGGCATAAGAATCTGCCATCCATTCAGAAGCAGGCCATCAGCCATGTAATCATCATTTTGGTCCTGCAAATGTGGTGGTGGGTCTGTTGGAAGTTGACTCCTTCAACCTCATGCTCTGTGGCAGAGTAGAGTAAGTTTCTGGCAAGTCTCATCCTTTAGTTGTTCATCTCTCATTTTCTGAATTTGTCCAGCAGATGCTCGAATTACAGCCAAATCAAGATCAATGTAGACTCTGACCCTCTCTGAATCCTTTTCTTTTACTGTAGTGGATGCTCAACTGGGGCTCTTAATAGTGTCTGCTGCTATGAGTGCTTTCCCTAATACGTGTTCAATGTTAAAAGAAAATTGCTTCAGCTGTTGACTCTTAGGTGGAAGGTCATCTAGTGGTTTTGAACCCAGTAATACCACTGAGAGTTTATGGTCCACTTCCATGTTAAAATTCAAGCCAAACAGATATGCACTGAGCTGTTCACAGACCCAAGTGACTGCGGGAGGTTCCTTTTTCATGTGAGCAGTCTGCTATTTATTTCTGTGAGGCTTCTTGATGTGAATGCAACAGGTCTCTGGTCGCCTTCTGGCTGCTTTTGTGTAAGCTCGCTCCTAAACCATATGAAGATGCCTCTGCTGGATGTTGTTGGATAGTTTACCATATATTTTGCCAAATCAGGTGAAGATGTCAGTTCTTCAATTTTATTAAATGTTTTGTTGTGGGCTACTCCAGATCCACATATTGTGTGACCATTAAGGAGATAATGCCTTGGGTTTTTCTGAATCCGTCTGAATTCCCTGTTTGCTATTTATATATCCTACACGTTTTAGCCGTTCCTCTCCAAACTCACATTTCTCATACCCACTGGCTTGTGGGAAGTGTCTCAACTGCATGTAGTCACTCCTCTTCGTTTTTGTCTCTACCATATACCAACACATCATCTGCATGGCAAAGGATGCCAGGCATACATGACACAATCTGTGAGATTCTATGCCAAATGGAAGATGATTGAAACAGTACCTTCCAAATGGGGTGGGAGGGGAGATGAATGTCATTAATGGTATAAATTCTTTAGCAAGGGAAGGTTTCCCAGAAGTCTGCTGTAGCATCTGACTTTGAAAAGACTTTGGCTTCTGATTATTGAGCTAATGTCTGGTCAACTGCAGGAAGCCTGTGTCTTTCTCTGAGCACACTTCTATTAAGTAGTGTAAAGTCCACACCGGTTTGGATTTTGCATTGGGCTTTGGTACTACAACCGTCCCCGCACACCAGTCAGTGGGTTCTTCTATCTGGGAAATAACCCCCATATCTTCCCCTCTCTTAAATTCTTCTTTGCCTTTCTTTAGCAAGGGTACAAGGCTGGGGCATGGGACAGTGAGAGCACAAGTTATTGGTGATGACACCAGTTTTATGCTGTACTCCTCAGACTTCTTTCCTAGCCCTGTGAAGATGTGTAGGTACATCTCTTCTATAGTTTGCATTTTGCCATACATTCAATCCAGGTTTTCTACTAGGTATAGTCCTTGTATTGCTGGCAAACCTAGTAGGAGAGTTGTCAGTCCTTGTATTATGTATATTATTTGTTGAAGAACTTTCCATCCTTTCTCCAGTTTCCCAAGCAACTGGCTACAAACATCCAATGTGCTGTTACTAGCCCCATGTAGAATTTTATTTGGTCTTTGCAAATCTCCATCTCAACATGGATTATAATCTTTTTTTGGGATTGCAGTGATGGCTGCTCCATTATAAATTTTAAGTAAAGGTTTCAACTGTTTAGATTCATGCTTGTGTTCCAAAGTGTTGTCTGTTCTACTGAGGATATGATCCCTAAAAGTATGGACTCATTGTCTGATGATAACACTCTCCTTCTTGGATTGTTTTCACTACTCTTGATGACCTGTATGTTACAAAATGTTCCATTTTGTGGCATTTCCTACATTCTGCCTCTTTTGCTGGATGATGTTGCCTGCTGTGGCTGGGTGTCTTGCTACATCTTCCACAGCTTTTCTAAGCTTCCCTCCTGTTACGGTTCTTTGATCTCCCACTTACTATTTGTGCACTGTTCTTATTTGTAACTTTGATTTGGCTGCTCTTTTCCCATTTGCGACTTTTCTTTTTACTGTGTCAATATTGTCTGATGCAGTCATAGAATTGCAGGATTGAAGGGACCTCAAAAGGTCATCTAGTCCAGTCCCCTACACTCATGGCAGGACTAAGTATTATCTAGACCAGCGGTTCTCAAGCTGTGAGTCAGGACCCCAAAGTGGGTCGGGACCCCTTTTTAATGGGGTTGGTAGGGCTGACGTTAGACTTGTTGGGGCCTGAGCCCAAAGCCTCAGCCCCACCACGCAGGGCCAAAGCCGAAGCCTGAGAGCTTCAGCCCTGTGTGGCTGGGCTCAGGTTATAGGCCACTTGCCTGGGGCTAAAGCCCTTTGGCTTCAGATTTGGCCTCCCCCGACCAGGATGGCAGGGCTCAGGCTTTAGTTCCCCTCCTGGGGTCGTGTAGTAATTTTTGTTGTCAGAGGGAGTCGTGGTGCAATGAAGTTTGAGAACCCCTGATCTAAACCATACCTGATAGGCATTTGTCTAACCTGCTCTTAAAAAATCTCCAATGATGGCGATTCCACAACCTCCATAAGCAATTTATTCCAGTGCTTAACCACCCTGACAGTTAAGAAGTTTTTCCTAATGTCCAACCTAAATCATCCTTGCTGCAATTTAAGCCCATTGCTTCTTGTCCTATCCTTAGCAGTTAAAGAGAACAGTTTTTCTCCGTCTTCCTTGTAACAATCCTTTTATGTACTTGAAAACTGTTACTGTGTCCCCTCAGTCTTCTTTTTTCCAGACTAAACAAACCCAGTTTTTTCAATCTTCCGTCATAGGTCATGTTTTCTAGACCTTTAATCATTTTTGTTGCTCTTCTCTGGACTTTCTCCAATTTGTCCACATCTTTCCTGAAATGTGGCGCCCAGAACTGGACACAATACTCCAGTTCAGGCTTAATTAGTGCAGAGTAGAGCTGAAGAATTACTTCTTGTGTCTTGCTTACAACACTCCTGCTAATATATCCCAGAATGATGTTTGCTTTTTTTCTTTTTGGCAACAATGTTACACTGCTGACTCATTTAGCCTGTGATCGTCTGTGACCCCCAGATCCCTTTTTGCAATATCCCTTCCTAGTGGATCAGTCTTCCTTATGCTGTAGCATGTAAGCCACGTTGCTGTTTCTTTATTGTTGCATTCTCACTTTTGCTATTGTTTTGCTAGTGTGAGATCTGGGTCTAACTGAACCTGTGCTGATAAACTGGTCTTTTATACCAACAACCATCTTGTCTCATATTAGTTCTTTTAATGTTCCATATTTGCAATGTTCAGCAAGACTGTGAACTGCAGTAATAGAAGTCTCATCTGTTTCCCCTTGTTTCTGGCACTTCCTATTAAGTTTGCCCCTTTCATATGTAATATTGTCTGTCTATGAAATGGACATCAAATGCTCATGTTTCACTTTTGGAGTATTCTTTCTTTTCTTCAGTGAGGAGGAGGACACATAGGATATCAGCAACAGCAGCAACCAGGGTATTTACCTGATATTCTTATGCTTTCTCTGTTAAACCAGAATTGCTCAAATCTTGGCTCCTGCAAGGCCAGCTGCCTGAGTTGCGAAAATCAAATGTCTGTAATAGAGCCAATTGTGCTATGGGGCTCTACTGCTGAGGTGAGACAGGGCTCTCTGTCTCCTTGCTGCTGCTTTCACAGGTCTCCTCCCTGATATTCCATTTCCCTCACTCACTGACCACTCTGACAGTCTGGAGGTGTCTTTCCTTTCCTTTGCTCCTTCTTTAGAGAGAAAGATTCTCTCACTTCTCATCATGTAGTGTGAGGACATAAACACAGAGGCATGCTTTAAGCAGCCACTAGAGAACTCTCTCTAATCAGGAAGTTCCTTCATTTGTTAAGCTCCATGCTGCAACACATCCTGGTTCTCTCTGTTAATTGTGGACCAAAAACTCTATAACTGCTCCATATAACATGGATTCTGAAGCACAATTATATGCTTATGGAGTATTCAGGGTCCTGATATTTATTTCTGTGACTAGATTCAGAGGCCTCACATGTTTTTAGACCATTTAATTTAAAAGTGAATTTAACTAGTACTAGTAACTTATCAAAGGGCTTTACAAAGTCATGTGTCTACCTCTTGGTTCTTCAGTGGTCTCTGTGAAATGAATTGCTTTGCTTCTCTCAGTCCATTCTTTCGAGGACAGATGTCCACCCCATCATAATAAAATAACCTTTGGCACCATTGCTGACCATTTCAGTGCCCAGTGGCTTTGCAGAGTAAACAATCTAGCGTCTAGTTGCGGATCTTCCAAAGCAAGGTTTAGTCGTGTTTGTCGGACAGCATAAGGAAGCTTTTACTGCAGATGGTGGTGCTGTGCTTTTTTTATGAATGAGTAAAAGATATTTGTTACAGTTAAGCTTACCTTGTGCCTTTATTCCAACATTAATTCACTTTTTATCATAGATTATGGAAATTGACAAAAGCTCTTTTGTTTCATGTAGTCCATTCCCCATTTCCCTCAATTGTTTCTTTCAATAACATTTTGTAGGGCTTTGTCTGCTCCCTTTAACTATTGATTTGTATATTAAGACTTTGCAGTGAAGTATATAGAAAATGTACTGAGTAGGCTATATACTATTCTATATATATTTAAAATGTCAAGGGAATGTGTTTTCCCGTGCTAAATGGTGGCGGGTCTCATGATTTTATGCAATCCAGGTAGTAAAACCAGAAGAAGATGACTTCCAGGATTTTCAGGATGCTTCAAAGTCTGGCTCACTCGATGAATCTTTCACCGATTTCCAAGGGGAGGGATCTGGATCCTCCAAAGCAACCAGTTCTCAGCACCGGAGCAGGTAGAGTAGATATCTGAATTTCTTTTCAGTAACTTAAATATTCTTTTAAAAGCAATTAAACATTTTCTTTGTGTAACTTTCTAACCCATCATTTCATACCGTCACCTGATCTTGACTCTGGCAGTTTGTTTCAGCAGCCGTTTCAGAAATCTTAATGGCAGTGTATCCAAACTGACATTTAATGTACTATAGATGGCTGACCATTCTTTAGAATTCCATTCATCATGCTGAGATAAATTGTGTATAAAGCTTTGAGAATAGGTTTTTCAAGTGTTTATTCTGTTGCTGACACTCGTGAGTTCTTTCATGCTGTGCATTAGGCTCAAACCTTTACATATAGCAATCCACTCATTCCTGTGCTCTCAGAAAAATGAATTGGGACAGATAAGCTATGCACTTAGCATTAACTACCCTGGTTAAGGGTCTCATCCAGCACCCACTGAAGTACATGGGAAGCTTTCCATTGACCTCAGTTGCCTTTGATCAGGCCATAAACGCCATGCAGAGAGCATCAAACGTCAGACTGTTTTCTTTTAAAAGACCACGGCTCTCCAGTGGATGGGGTTTTTTAGCTCCTCTCATCCTTTCCATTTTGGCCAATTTTTATTTAGTACCTGACTTTGAGTTGTGGTGATTGCCTGGAAATCCCATTTAAAGTCTGTTTCATTCAAATTTTAGAGGTCTACTGGCATTGTGGTTGCTCAACGCCTCTCCTATTCTGGTGGCCCTTATTTATTTAATTGAGAGAGTGGTATTGCCTCAATACAGTCATGGGTTAGGCAGTGTGGAGTAGAGAAGTAACTATCCAAAGCTTCCTGTTTGAGTTTGAATTCTTTCACAAAATTCTGACTTTCAACGTCCTATGGTCAGGAAGCCCCAAAATTTTGTTTTCTCATACTATACAGGGCAAAATAATATGCTTCTCCCTAATTTTAATTAATTTTAGGAACAAAACATTCGGTCTGTATGTACTGAACTGGTTGTTCTTATATGTAGATTGCTTCCTTGACAGTGACATCAGAGGAAGATACTAGAATGAATTGTTCAGCTGCAGCATGCGTAAAATTACAGTCTGAGTCATCGCTTTTCATGAAAGGGATTTCATTTTGATAGTTTAAATCAGTAACACTACATTAATCTGAAGATGCTCCATATTTTATTTAGTCATTTTGTTTTAGGCGTAGTTCTGCAATTAATAAAATTTATTCTGTTAATGGAAGTCTTAGCAAAAGCATTTACAAATCTGTAAGCACAGTTTTGTTTAAAGTTCCGTAATTGGAATTGGAGGGTCATGAGAAATCAGTGTTTTCCCCTGCAGTAGTTCTCTTTATTCAGTTGTTGTAAGAGCATTCAGTTTTGGATAGAATGTTACAATGAGCTGCAGTCTATTTGCTTATGGATGTGTTGAGTTTGTTTTTGTTTTTTTTTAAAAGCCATCTATAGCGTACACCAGATTAACTGTTGTATTTGTCAAGATTGGATATCGAACTGTCTATATTGTAGTGATGTGAAATTAAATTATATTGCCATAAACTACATTTTTTGACATTGCTCTGTCTTATTCTGCAAGCCCCATGGGCCACCGTTAGACTGCACGTGCAAGTGCTGGGTTTGTGTGTAGCTTGCAGGTCACTGATAAGGAGATTTAAATGGCTGTGGAAAGATTCTTGCTCCAGGCCAAAGAACGCCATAGAAATTCATTCATATTTTCAATGTGTATGGTGTTAAATGACACAAACTAGAGGTAAAATGCAGTCATTCTTATGTAAAGGATGATGTTCTGCAGAGCTGCCAAGGTCTGATAAGGCGGGGGGGAAAGCGAAGCTCTTGCAGTACATGTTTAAATCTTTCAAGAACTGCTAACCCAGTATCAGGTTATTATGGCAGTTTATTATACTAACTAGAATATGTTCATGTGCAAAAAGGTCTGTTCCTGTAATTATGGCATAATCCTGACATTGCTGAACTGTGGCTACCTGAGCTCGGTGACCTTCGCTGTGTAGAAATTCAGATGTTATCTTTTGCTCTTATTGGAATAATGGATCTGTTCTCTTGTTGTTTTTGCAATATGCAATGAAATGTAATCAAAAGCAGAAGAAGTGGAAGCACTGAGTTAGCAAAATCTCAGGCAGCCTGTGATTCTTACCCATTTCTGGTCCCATCAAGAAGGCATGCCCTTAAACCATCTTGGACAATGTGATTAATGAAACCAGTGTTTTTCACGTGTGTGTGTGTGCTCTTCTGGCTTAAAAACTGCAGTGGTGCATATCTAGAACAGTTCACTCCCATATTCTGTCACAAGTAAGAATCAAGAAGTTAATGCACGTAAGGCATCTCTATTCTCCGTGGGTGGAGAATTTACTGTTTTGGCCCAGAGTAGTGTTGATAGAATTTCAATGAGATAGTGACTAGTGTAAGATGAACTGGGTTGCCATGAGAATATTGTCGCTGCAGATCTTTTATGAATGTAGTGTACGTCATAAAACTCTTTTAAAAGTGCAGAAGTAAAATAAGTACTTTATCATATGTTTGATAGAGCACATTTGAGTTAATACACACAATTTAGACAGAAGCTAAGAAGTTGCTGTTTCACTTCCTAATATCCTGCTTGCTTTAAATAATGGAAGAAATTAGATTGCTTAGGAGCTTTTTTCTTTTCTTGTTTGTTTGTTCGTTCAGTGTTCCTTCTTTGCTGATTCCACTCCCTGGCACTAAAACACCTTCCTCAACGGATAAATATGCTGTGTTTAAAGGAATTGCAGTTGAAAAGCCTTCTGAAAGTGCAGCTATGTTTGGAGGTAAACAAAAACTGTTTAATTGTTAACACGATGTGTAATTTAACATTTAGTTTTTCATATTTCAGTAGTGCCTGTGACATTGGTAAAATATTAATATGAAATGTTTAGAGTGCAAGATGATTGTATCTGTGCCAATCTAATCTGTACCACAACTGATTGTAGCCTAATTTCACAATATCTTAATGGAAATTCTTTTTTTTGTTTCATGCATGGTAGATTATGGAGACAAATACAGTGCTTTCCGAGAGTTAGAACAACCACCAGAGAGTAAATACTTAGGTAAGCATTTGATTTTACAAAAGTGGGGGGGGAGGGGGGGTTAGGCTCTTTCAGTACGTTGCATGCTTTTTTTAGGGTCCTGCATGAACTGCAGAATTCCCACTGCTAGAATTTTAGGATAAAGCCCCTACAGCACCACAAATGAGCCAAAAGTATCTTGAGAATATCATAAAATTTATCATTGACACATAGTCCACAATGTCATGTGTTTTTTATGGAAAGATTGGTCCCTGCTTTGGAGGTGTATGTGGGTGCAATTTTGGAATCACTTTTTGGTAGGTTTTTGTCATCTCTCCTGTAGACTTGCTTTAAAAATGAGGAACTGTACATCCTCATAAAGGTGTGCAATGCAGCATTTCAGGGCAAATGGTGATTTCTGTGGAAGCTTTCTGTTCTTATGGTACAGCTCAAGCCATGTATTGCTTTTGGTATACAGTACCACAATAATAAAGCGCTACTCATTTAGCTTAGAGCAGTGATACTCAGACTGATGCTTGCAAGCTGCAAGTAGCTCTTTAATGTGTCTCCTTCGGCTCTTTGCCACAGGTGATATTAAAACACTGTGTGATTTAATTATTAACCAATCAGGATGCTTTTACTATGTTATTAACCAATTGTAGTTGATAAAATAATACTTGGTCAATCATTTTGCTGTGAGAATAATATATATTGTAAGTATATATACCCTGAATATTTCCCCTGCCATACTGTTTAAATATGAATATATAATATATACTTGCAAATGAAACAATGAATTCACACTACTGTGGTTTTTTTGGGTAATGTTGATCGCTAATTTGGCTCCTGAACCACTGAGGTCTGAGTATCACTGGCCTAGAGTTTGCCCTCAATCAATTTTATTTGTGGGAATATGTGAAAATAAATGTTAGTTATCCTCTGAAATACTATTACTATGTAATTGCAGTAAGTGAAAACTGCCTAAGCTCTTTCCTGAACAGGCCATCTATACATAATATATATATTTACATAACATAAACGGTACTGTCACCTTTTAATCTGATGGGAAAGAAGAACCCTCTGCAACTCCATTGGCTTCATATGTCAGTAATCAGAGCACAGGATAAATGTATCGCTAATTTAACAGCGGTGGAAATGCTGCTGTATTGCCACCCTACCAATATGTTTCACTGTACTTGTAAGCAGAAATTATCAAGAATCTGTTCACTACATACAGAGACAATTGTGCCAAAATCTCCTTAGTTTTACTAAGTTACACAGTAAGGGCATGAGCATCTGAAACTCCTGTGATGATCTGTGGAGTTAGTGTGTGCCCAGTACCTTTCCAGTTTCAGGCATTTAAATTACTGTTATGAGTATTTCATTCGACTTGCAGCTGTCTATTGCTTGCAAGGAAAGAGAAAAGTTGCTTCTGGATTTGTAAACTGACCAGCTTTCACCATTGTTAACCCTTTTACCAGCTTACATTTCTAATGGAAAAGTTTATAGTTCATCAGTAAGTTTAGTTTGCTGTGATGTTTTAATTTTGGTTAATGAATGTCAATTTCACAAAATTCTTTGTATTTTTTTTAAAGCAGCATCTAAAACATATGGTTGGACCAGGTGAATTGAGGAAATTTTTTTTAGCTCGCATCATACTTCAAGTGATGATCACGTCCACCTATTATAATTGTAACTAATGTTCTCTCAAATCTTTCCATATCTTAAATTTAGTTTAAAATTATCACTTTTGTGAAAAGAAAAGGAGTACTAGTGGCACCTTAGAGACTAATCAATTTATTTGAGCATCAGCTTTCGTGAGCTACAGCTCACTTCATCAGATGCTGTAGCTCAAGAAAGCTTATGCTCCAATAAATTGGTTAGTCTCTAAGGTGCCGGTAGTACTCCTTTTCTTTTTGCGAATACAGACTAACATGGCTGCTACTCTGAAACCTGACATTTGTGAAAGTGACTTGAATCTTAATGGTGTATTTGTAAAATATGAATTGAATGAAATCTGGGTATGTGCAGTACTGGACATTTGTTGTTTAAGTAGTTGAGGCATATTTTATAACAAGTAGCATGTCTGCAAATATATCATGCTGGTGAATGGGTTTAACATCATAAATTTAACAAAGAAAACAAATTATACTTCAATTTCCACATATTTGTGAGGTGACAGATATGTACTGTAGAATAAATTGTCTGTCTTTATGCTTAAGCTGCATTTTCTATGCCGTAAAGTGTTTGGGTAAAAACTTCTTTTATACACAAACATTGTCTTTCTAGAAAAGAGAACTTTTGAATTCCTCTCTGTAGGGAAAATGTGCGTCTTTACGATTTAAACTGTAGTCACTTAAACTGTATTATTTTCAAGGTCCTTCCTTTCCAGTTTTTATTTTATTTCAAATTTCCTGCAATTTATCAGTGTTTATTACAAAGACTAAAAAATGGGTGAAAATCTGTGTGTGTGGTGGTGGTGGGAATTCTGGGTTAATATCAGGATTAACGTTGTGGGATAAGAGGACAGGGAAAAAAAGCAACAAATAGAGAAATGGAAAGGTATTGAAAGTAAAAGCAGTTTAATACTGTGGTTCATTTCATGATTTGTACATTAACAATGCATCCACATATGCATGCGGATAGGTGTGTGTATGTTCCACTATATGGCCTTATTTTAACAAACAGCCTCACATTTACACTTAGTTTAGTTTGTTATTAAAATAAAATACATCTACCTAATGTAATGGATTGGATTTTCTTAACATAATCAGTATTTTTGTGTACTGGAGTGGTTCGACATTTGGGTGAAAATTGATAAATACTGAATAGCAGCTGGGTAAACCCAGGAATTTTTCAGTAAAAATTGGTAAAAACTGAAAACGAAAGGCCTTACATATTTTATATTTAAGGTGTGATCTGAAAACTGAAGATTTTTACATTTATGAATAATTCTCTCAGTGTAGAAGGATAATGTGTGAGTTATTAATCTATAGGCTCCCTAACACAACTATTCTCTTTTTGGGTCCAATTCGAGATGCTGATCACCTTCAAATTTACTAGGAGGTCAGGTCGCTCGGCACTTCGCAAGTTCAGGTCCTTCAGTGATTATTTGTGTTTAATCCCCAAACCAGTCTTGCATTAAGGAGTAAAGATATTGATTGCATTAGGAAAGAGAAGCTGCACTGTATTTCTGACCCGTCTCAAACCTGGAAGCAGTTACAAATAGCCCCAGTAACAAAACAAAAGGAACAACATCATATTTTGATTCCAAATCTGACTTTTTTTTCTTATGCCTTTTTGCAAAGCTTATATACTTCTGCCTACTTTCTTCAGAAGAACTGCTCCCTACCTAACTCCAAAAAATGGTGTTAACAGTTCTAGTCATGGGCCATTGCACAATAAGCAGTGTGAGTGGATGTGATGGAAGGGGGATATTTTAGCAAGGGAACAGATTTGTTCTGGGCTTCTAAGGTACAGGGCCACGTAGAAGTTTTGGAGACTTGGGGAAAAATCTGAAATTGAGCTCCCCCCCTCCAAAAGTGAGGACCTGGGTGGCAGGGAGGGTAGAACTAGCCTGCCCTGCACTCACCCCACAGCGGTGGCTACTGTACTGTCGGGGCTGGGCCTGCTTCCCTGCTCTATGGTTTGTGACCTGGCGCATTGGGTCACAGCATCACTCAGGGTTGGTCTGGCCTCCTCTCCACTAATGGAGTGGCACCCGGGCCAAATTTTGAGTGAGTGGAATCCCTGTACAAGACACAACACCATTTACTCAGATTCCACAGGTTTGGGGGCCCTCTCAAACAGGGGGCCTGTGACAAATTTCCCTTCCCTCTCCCTGGTGGCCATGCTAAGGTGTTTTGATAATCAGTAAGAAAGACAACATAAACACTGTAAGAAATGCCTTGACTGTGTCCTTTTAAAATCCAAATAAGTTCTTGATTGATGCTTTTGTTACAAGTTACATGCCAGCCAGCTCTGTATGTTTTAGTCTGATGGGGTTCAAGTTCAGTTTTGACTTTGAGTTGCAGTTATCAGTCTTAACAGAAGCTGGAATGTCATGAAGGTGACTAGATTAAGTTTTGTAAAGTTCTGGATGCTTGACTCTCTTTGCACTTGATAGAAACAGAAAAGGGTAGACTTTTGAAAGGAGGGTTTAAAATGATGCAAGGTGACTAGTTAAGATGATGGCTATGCCATCTTTGTTGGACTGGCATTTTGGTGCATTTCTTCCTGTTAGTTGTGTTTTCCATCACACACGCTCTGGTAAAGTCCTGTTATGCCTTGAGCCTTCTTTTGACGTAATAATAAATAAAAGCTTTTTTTTTTTTTTTTTTTTTTTTTTAAAAAGTCACTGTCTGCTCTCTGAAGCCAGGTGCTTCTGGCGATCAGTCTGTTCCCTCTGTACTCCCCTTTCAGCCTGTCAGTGCTGCTTTCATTCTGGCTTCCTGCAGCCATCCTGTGAGGAAACCATGTGCCACTGCTCTGACTTCGAAATTGACAGTGTGGACTTGGGGTAGGGAGGTGGAGAGAAGGTCAGAGAAGATTTTGGCAATAGTTGTGCCATATTTCTGGCATCGATAACAGGGCAAATACAAACGCTGGCACAAGTGAAATTCCAAATTTAATTCTTGGCAGCGACAAGTATGAGGTACGTGGGAAGGGGAAAGGATCTGTCCAGTATTCAAACAACATACAGTACTGAACACCACCTAAGTTTGTCGCTCATAAGAATGTGTTGATATTGAACTCTTTCTAAGCTGAGTTTCATATGGTTTGAGGCTACTTTAAGGATTTATAAATTTTTGGAATAATAATTGGAGACCTCACCAAAATTGCATAGAAGCCTAGTTTTGTTTTTTTAACATACACCCGTAGCTGGCAAATTGAATAGGTTTGCATAAAAATATTTTGACATTGCATGAAATAATTTGTTTGATGCATGGTATGAATATGACATACTTGTTCTCATTTCAAGATTCTACTTATTGTTCTGATTTTTTTCCCTCTCCCCTTCAGGAGATAGCTTTGCAGAATTCAAATCTGCAGGAACTGATGACGGTTTCACAGATTTTAAAACCGCTGACAGCATCTCACCACTAGACCCACCTACAAAAGAGAAAACTTTCCCTGCATCCTTCCCCTCTCTAACTGCACAGTTAAAGCAACAGACACAAGCAAAAACCTCTCTGAATCTGGCAGACATAGATCTCTTTTCCTCCACTGGAGAGAACAAACAACTTTCATTTCCAGCTGCATTTAGTTCATCAAAATCAACCTCGTTCCCTGCACCACCACCTCCAACATCTGCTGCAGTTCCTGCACCAGCACCCGGTAAAAGCTTGAGCTTGGCTGACGACTTTGGAGAATTCAACCTTTTCGGGGGATTGTCTAATTGTATATCAGTCTGGGGACAAGATGACTTTGCAGATTTTATGGCTTTCAATAATAGCAGTGTCTTTTCTGAACAAAAAATGGATGACAAATACAAAGCTGTTAAGCAAGAGGCCAATCCTGTTCCTCCAGCTGTCTCCTCTCTCAGTGCAATGAAAAGTGGGCAGAATTCTGCCGCTGTTGCTCCCACCAAATATGATATCTTTAAACAGCTTTCTCTGGAGGGCTCTGGAACAGGTGTTGAGGAACTGAAAGACAGCACCCCTTCAGTGAAAAGTGACGACGACTTTTCCGACTTCCATTCTAACAAGTTTTCTTCCATGTGTAGCAACATGGATAAATCCCTGGTAGACAAAGTGGCAGCTTTCAAGCAGGCCAAAGAAGACTCTGCTTCTGTCAAGTCTCTGGATCTCCCCTCCATTGGGGGCAGCAGCGTCGGCAAGGAGGATTCTGAAGATGCGCTCTCTGTTCAGTTTGACATGAAACTGGCTGATGTGGGAGGAGATCTTAAGCATGTCATGTCTGATAGCTCTTTGGATTTGCCAACAGTTAGTGGCCAGCATCCGCCAGCAGCAGGTGAGGAATTGGTTAGATTGCTCTGGTAATGTAGGTGATGGAGATTTCGATAATGTTACTCTGTGTGCTAAATTACAGTATTATGCACTAGTCTTTCAGTTGCGAAAGGCTTCTAAACCTGTCTACCTGCTAGCTACCAGTCCCTTAGCAGGGCAGTGCTGTCGTTCATTGTTTTAGATAGCTATAAATAGATTGGGTAGTTTAAAATCAATACTGATTTATTTTTGAGGTTTGATCACGTTGTAGGACTGTTGCCCATTAGCAGGGATTCAAATGGAAGCTCTTCTAACGCAAACAATGTCATTCCATTTGTATGAGCTAGATCAGTGGTATTGAAAGCCTCACTTTAGTCTTTTGGTTTCAGCTAAGCACCTGGCTGGAGGACTTGACCCACTCTGTGCTTCTGAAAATATAGGCGGAACACTAATTTGTGCTGTTAATGAAAACCTTTCTACCCAATGACACTAGTATATATTCCCTTCAAAGCAGGGATGCATTTACTTAGCCAGAGCTCTGCAGTACTGGAAATGAAGGTATTAAATACAGTTTTACTGTAACTGGAATACAATTAGTTTTTAGAGTTAATACCATTCCTGGAAGTAATCATGCAAAGAGCCTGTACATGCTCGCATGGTAATCACTTTTGGAGCTAAATTTAAAACCAAGCGAGTCTTACTTTTTCCTTGTTAGGTTACCCCCTTTTTAATTTCTCTTAATGAAAGCACTCCTAAGAGAATATGAACTAAGTATTTCCAATCTTATTGCATATCATAAAACAGATTTCCCAAGTGTCCTGTTTTTTCTTTTTATATGTACATAGAGAATAAGATGTAGTTAAATGTTTTGTGGCCTTTAATAATATGGGAAATATTACTGTATTCTAGTGACAAGTATTATGCAGTCAAAGGCTTTTTTGAATTGCGGGGCACACAAACTGTAAATGTAAAAGCTATTGCTGCAAGAATTGGTTATTTCCATATGAAATATTTCTTCCATTTTTGCAGATCTGGTCGAAAAATATACAGTACTGTAATTTTGCATTATATGATATTTTTAAGTAAGGGAGAGAAAATGAAGTTGGCATCTTAAGCATGGAAGATACTCTTTAACAGGGTATAAAATTTCAGGAATAATTTTATTAGCAAAGATGTTTAATTTTCATATTATGACTTGGTAAAATTCCAAGTTCAGTGGGCTGTCAAAAAGGTAGCACCTACAGTGTGTCTTGAGTGTTGACTTTGGTTTTGAAAGCACTTTTTCCTAATATTTTTCTAGCCTCTTTTGGTGATAGCTTGATTTTATGTAGCTCTTCTCCTACATCTGAGCTTCATTGGCCACAACAACCAGTAATTGATAACTGCAATTTGTGGCAGGAAAGGGTATTTGGGGGTTTTTTGTTTTGTTTTAAAGGATTAGCTCATCATGTGCTTGATGCTAAAAATTTGAATTTTGAAGTACTAATTAGAAGCTATTTTTCTGAAACTTAAAACAAAGTCTGTATTCTTTCATGGTGCCAAATTAGATATTTTCACAAGGGGAGTTTTACGCTACCTCCTTCCTGTTTCGGTCTCGTAATCAAGCTTGCCCTGAACTATGTTTGTTAAAATAACCCTTTGTGCTCACGTGTTTCTTTATGTATGTTCCATACATTTCAAGCTATGAACCGGTGATGTTCAAATCTTTTTTTTCAGTTTACATAATTTAAAAAGCAGATTTTTTTTCACTTCCTTTGATCTGTATATTTAATGTCAGAAAGGGACAGTATCCCTTTGTAGCCCTTGTTACAGAGAGATGGCTGACTAGCCGTTGGGAACCACTTTTGTTGTCTGCCCGGGCTGTGTAAATGTCTTAAATGAAGAATAGCTTTAGGTGGGGCTGTGGAAAGCATTGTATTTGACTCTTCTAATTCTAGCGCAGCAATACAAGGGTCCTTGTCCACGTGATACAGATTGATTGTAGGCACGGGGAAGGGTAGAAAACACTCACTTCTATTTGAATTGCTTTAGGGTTTTTGGTTTTGTTTTTTTTTTGGGGGGGGGGGAGATAACTTTCCGAACTGTCTCTAAAGGGGATACTGTCTCTTTAAACTTTGCTATAATTCTTGGTGTGGAAGGTAAACTATACTAATGTTGCATTTCTCTTGCATATACTTGGTATAACCCTTTGAGCACTTGCTGCATGTTGTTAATTTCAACCAGGCACCTTCTTTTATACCAAATTTAACCTTTTCTCCAACACTAAAGCATTTTAGTTAGTGTTTAGTCATGTTATATGCATGCATCTGATTTGTTTCAAGTTCAGTGTTGCAGCAAGAGCCTTCCCTTGCTCATAATATCCTCAGAGGGTTATCCAATTTGCTGCACTTGCAAACCTGTAAAGTTTCTTTTCTTCAGCATTATTGGAAATCTGTGTATTTTAATTCACATCAGGTTTTTTGCTGCTTTTCTAATGTCTTATTTCAACTAAACATTTCCTGTGTGAATGTGCCTTCTCGAATCTGCTTTGATATCTCTTCTGCAAATACTGACCTGCATGCTTTATTCTAATGACTCCTTTAAGAGCTCTTATGTATCACTATCTTTTGTGATCTGTAAGTCCTGCTGTGTTAATAAATATTATCTTGGCATATTTTGAAACTGTGGGGATGTGTGTAATTTGTTTGTAGTCCCGAAATGTTTGTTTTTCCTGAAAAATACAAAGTTTAAAGCTATAGTATCCCCTTAGACGGGAAGTTGCCTCTCTGCTTGTAGATCAGAGTACAATGCACTGCAGTTCTTGAAACAAATTGAATTAAGTACTTTGAGCTTACTTCCTGTGCCCTTCTGGAACTTTAAATACCAGGCTAAGCTTCAAATGATTTAACTAGGGGTGTGAGAAGGAAGTTTAATCAGCTAGTTGTCTGGGGTGGAAGGGCAGGTTTGTGAATTCTAATGTTGGGGAATGTTGGTGGCTTGACAACACTGACGACTGATATAGTTTCTTCCCATGCTATAGTTATTCTGTAGATTAACAGGGGACTTGTGTCTCAATATCGACTCATATCTTAGTTTCTCTGCTGTTACCAACAAGGGTGCCAATTGGGTGGTGAAGGGTTTTATGATGTGAACTTAAGTCCCTTGGAAACTGAAAAGACAAATGAGCACAATTCAGGTAGCATAGGCCACCAACAGTCTTCCGATGCTAACTACTTTTGGTCACTGCTAACCTGGAATGAATTTGCACTGATGACCTAGAAGTGAAAGGTGCTATTCTTGTTTCTGATTTGTAACTTTTAGTATAATTTTTATATCCCAGATTACTCAAAGTTAAAAATAGATTTGTGGTAATTACCATTTCAGAGCCCATTGTTCCTTTGGGATCTCCTAAATATTGGGATCACTTACACTTCTATTACTGATAATCTCAAGTATGAGGTATAAAAGTGATGATACTAAGCTTGCTGCATACATAGTAGCTTCTCTTTACAGCTTTGCTTGTGAAATCAATTTTTTTAAATGAGGAAGCAGTAATAAAGATTGAGGACTAAGAGGGTGCCAAATTTTTATTTTAATTTGGACTTTTTGGCCACAAGACCTAAAGCTGGCAAAAAGTCAGTAGAAACTTTTTGTTCCTCTTCATACAAATCGTGAGAAATTTTAAAGGGAAAATTGTTCCCATTTTAGAAAGCTTGTTCATTAGGTCTTGTCCTCAAACCTTTTTTTGGACCAGTGTCTAGAAGTGTCAATGCTGACAGACATTAGATGGTAGAGTTCCTTTAAAATTGTATCTTTGTTGATCAGATAACCATACGTGAGTTAGGAGGAATGGGGAGTGAATGACTATTAAAATGCTTGCTAGATTTAGTTTTATGTTGAAATTTTATCTCTGGTCATGATCCATATGTCAGTAGTTTTTCGCCCCTGGTTGTTGTGTAGAAGTTTAATTGCAAGATCTCACTCAGTGTAATGCTTCTATGAATACAAGTGCTTAAAAGCTTTTACATCTGCCTCATTAAGGAATCTAACAGTTAAAAGTATAAATTTGTGTGGTTTAGTTTTCCAAGTCGAGCAATAGCGCTTAGAAGTACATAGCAATCCTCCAAAATATCTGGAGCTCTAGGATTCTACAGGCTTAAACCAAGCTGTTTCTGCTAATGCAAGCTCTAAAGGGCTTTTATTCTGCTCAAACCATTGTTTAACTAAAAAAATATTTAGTAAGATTCCCTAATTCCACCGCATGGGAACACTTTTTTTCTTTCTTTCATTTTAATATATCAACAGTGAATTTGGTGCCTTCGGTAGTGGCCAGATTAACGGCTCTGAGACCTGCATGAACTAGAGTAAATTGAATAGCTCCATTGTAATCACTGGGATTATATTATTTTTCACCAGTTGAGAATCTGTCCCTTAATTCCTCCAGATGCATCCGATGAAGTGAGCTGTAGCTCACGAAAGCTTATGCTCAAATAAATTTGTTAGTCTCTAAGGTGCCACAAGTACTCCTTTTCTTTTTAATTCCTCCAGTCACCAATAGGCACAGTAGCACGAGCCTCTGTACTGTGCCCTGGCCTGGAGGGATCACCTAAAGGGGTAAAAGTGAAGCTGTGTCTATGGCACATTCAGCCCATTTGAGCTCTTTGCAGAGACTGCCAACAAAATTGCCAATTAATGTCAATTGTGGTGTTTTTGTGACATGGGCCTCTCTCTGCTAGGAAGAGAACTGACAACTAGGTCATTTTTATAGAGATCACCTAACGGCACTCAAGTGATATAACAATTTTCAATCGCCAGGCTTGAATTCAAACCTGCAGTCTAGAGGTGAGAGGCTTCACCTGTACATATCCAAAGGAATTTAAAAATATATATCCTCTCATCACCTCCTGAGTCAACATTAATATTTTCCTTTAAATATTAGTATCATTGTCGCTGTTACTATTGAATGGTTTTCTCATAAACCATTGACACAGAAAACTCAAGCCTGTAAATTTTCTTCCAGACAGTGTACAGACGTAATTTGATCCATGATGGTTGAAGTAGATTATTGTAGTCAGCTCAGATGAGGGATGTCAAGTTTACATGTGTAATAGGTAACACTAGGAAACAGTTGGATAACTGTATTTCATCCTCTGACAATATTTCTATATGCTCCCTGACAGGTGGTATTCTAATTCTCATCAACAGCAGTGATGCTGGTGAGTCTTGCTGTGGCTATTTCCAAGCAGTTGCCAGGCAGGTCGTACTGTTAGAGAACATGATTTTGATAGTTTTAAAATGGAAAATGCTGTAAAGAGGGGGGAAATAATTTAAGGATAAATATTGCAAACATTTTGCTATTGTACTTAAGGTATGGGTTAACTGTGCTATTAAGATTCTAAGGCTCCCACAAAAATCATTGTTTTCTGTGACGAAAATACAAAGAAGCTTTTCCGTATTCTTGGTTCATTACACATTCTTTTTAATGTGCCAACACAATGTGCAATTCTGATTACATCACTGGCTTCATGGTGCATGAAGTTTGAATAAATTTGACTCTGATCAAATAAGTATTCTTATGATTGTGTTAGGTTGCTTGTGGAGATTGATCAGAGAGAGGTAGGTGGAAATAATATCAGTCTTTGCTTGTTGTTCATGTCATTTGTATGGATCACTAAGACCTTTATTTTCTGCTCCTGTCTAGATTCTTTGCATGTCCAAATTACATTGAAAGAAACAGTGATGTTAAAAGGCTGGAAGACTAATACATTAAAGCAGTATGTTTCTGCTCCTGGAAACATACAATCCAAAATGGCTTGGTGGTAAATATCTAGATAGGTTACAAAATTCATAGATAACATAGCTAACACAACTGGCAGCACTTATCCAAGGGAGAACATGAAGGCAGTTACCTTTTTTACTGCCAGCACTAGTGCTGCATCCATATTGCACTTCAGAATTGTTGGAAAATGGACTGTGTAGCTGTTTTCACGATTCTGTTTCAGAAAAACACAGGATTCTAGTGGAATAAAACTGTCTAAAATGATCTAGAGCACCTGTATGCTTAAATAGGTATTTAAATATATATACATATGTTTAAAACAGCTAGATATATGATCTGTGCTCAAGTCTGATCATATCTAATATAGCCTAAATGGAAGCCATATGTTCCTGTTTTATTTTAATCTTACAAACTTTCTCCTTTATTCCCTTTTCACACTTGTTTCTTTCAGTAATTTGGGGATCCATGCATACTGTACTGTACTTGAATTTTAGTCTGACTGCAAGATATACCAATGTCTAACGTTGGGGGCCTGCTGTGATGATTATATTTGTATGGGAATAATTACATTCCGATTTTTATATTCTCATAAATATAAAAAGCAAAATATATTTTTCATCCTTTCAGAAAGAAGCCAAGAAATTACCAGCATTGCTGTTCAGGGAACACTTCCTTATTACCCTGTAATATCTTGCATATACTTTTGGTGGGTAGATTTATGAGAGGAGTAATTAAAGATTGTCTTGCATGATCTATTCATGGCTTGACTTACTTTGACAGGGCTCTTTGCAATATGTTTTTCAAAAACTGGTAATGAAATTTAGCTCAGTATAGGCTGAAATGCCGTTCAGGTTGCCAGAAATGCTAATCAGTCTTGAAAGATTAAATTATGACTTGCTATTCATCTTATATCCATTATTAAATATTTTCTGATGTAACAATTGCCAGACATTGTGATCCTCCCTTGGCAGGAAGATTACAGTACCTTGAAAGCAAAGCACATGGAAGAATTTTTTTAATGGATTCAATCTTTGCTCATTCTGTAATACATTTTTAACGATGTTTCACTCCCTTCTATTGGCTCAAATTCTGCCTTTTGCATGAGTTTCTTGAATGAGGAATACAGATATTTCTTGAATAAAAGCTGTATTTGTTGAAGACAGTACTTAGTTCTTAGAATTAGTTCAGATCTACGTTAAGTGAATTTTCTCTTGATTTGACAAAATACTGTCGCTGGTACTCAACCGTTTAAAAAACAGGTTCAATTGCCACTACAGTAAAATGAAGCTTTTATTACCAGGAGTTCTAGCTGCAGTGTTTTTACTGAAGCTAATTTTTTCATTAAATTTATCTCTGGTCTCTAGGAAATAAGCTACTGCAGGAGTGATTCTTCACGTTGTCTAATAAAACATCATTGTGCCAGTAATAAAAACACCCATGTCATGAAGAGTTCCCTTGAGTCCAACACTGAGTGGTTTTCACATGTCAACTGCTTCTCTATATATTAGTCTGGTGGAAGGCAGCTCAGTTGCCTTTCAGGAAAAAAGAAATGAAACTGTTTTTACTTTACACAGCAGATGAGTTAAATGAGAACCTGGATCAAGCTTTAAACCTGCTGCCTGTTACAACCATCACAAGGACTGTGACTCCATTTCCCATGGTGGGGGCGGGAGAGGACTGTTGAGTGGCAATGCAATATACATACTACCCAAACAGTATTGATTTTACAAAGGGGTTAAAACCATATTTCTGATAACACCTGGTTTGCTTTATGGCATTTAGAATTGCATTCATATTTTTATTTTTATTGGCTTTTTAATAAATTGCTTGGGCTCTGTATTAGGTATAAAATAATTTTACCCAGGGTCTGTTATATTTTCTAAGGGTCCTTTCCTTTAAAATTTTACTCACCTGAGGTGATCCCATTGAAGTCAATGGGACTGCTCAAACGAGTAAGCATTTGTAGACCGGAGCTCTTAAATTCCAATCCTACATCTGAATCTATGCAAGCCAGACCCCTGTGCATGTGGCTTCAGTTGCAAGATCTAAAGATTTAATTGTTAATGAATTAAAATATCTTCTTGCTGCCTTTGCCAGGGAGATTATAGTGGAAGCTTGGTCTACTTGTTAGAGCAAAGGATTGGGAGTTCTGGTTTCTAATCCAAGCCCTCGGTGTGATCTTGAGACAGGAGTCAGATTGAGGGGAAAGAATACAATGATGTGTTCTTTTAGGATCTGCCCACAACACATGCTTCTTTTCCTTCTGAGCCAAAATGAGAAGTCATCCACAGTAGACTGTGCAGATCTTCATAATATGATCATCATGTATTCTTCTACTTATTCTTATGGCGATACCATCAGTCACTCAAATGCTTCAGCAGCCCAAATGTCATTTCTTAGGAAAAAATCTAATCTGTGATACTTTATGCCACAAAGGGGCTCTTCACTTTGTTTTGGCAGCCGTTAAACTTCTCTGCAATTCTTCCAATTGTTGGACTTCTTGATTAATCATGTGTGTGGATCAGGTCAGGTCAGGAAAGCTGCCTGAAGCTCCTGTGTATTCTCCCCTTCCAGTAAAATGAATAAATGATGGCAGAAATGTTTTGTAAAAGCGGGTTTAATCCTCAGGCTAGCATAGTCAGACTGAATTAAAAGGGCAGCTGGAATGTCAACTTGTTTCCACACTATCTCTTTATTAAACCTGAACTACTGTTACTGCACACAAGCCAGTCAGAACCAAAATGTTTATCAGAACAGCCTCTGCTAAAATGATGCTAAGAGAATGTGTGTTTGTGTTTGCTTTATCTTAAGACCATTTTACCCAAGGCACTGAGCATCCGCTGAGTGTCTAATCCAAAATGACAATTGTTAAAGCCTGAAAACAAACATCAACCATGGCTTTTTAAAAATGCTTTCACAAAAAGTATATGGCCCCTGGCTTTTTATGCCTCCCCATATGGAACAATCTCAATCTAAATTTAAAACCAAAAAGGTTGAATGAGTAACAGACAGAGCCTGGCAGAAATAAATCACTGCATAGCTTCCTTTGGTGGGCTTAGTGAAGCAAACGGAGCCTCTTGCCTCCTTACACCCCTTTATGGCAGCAACAGGACATATTGGCCCGTATAACTACTGGGTGAGTATAAATGCTTGATTGAAGATTTGTGTAATGTGGTTGGTTTTCTATCTAGTTGTCTAAATCAGTAACACACGTAGCAAAAACAAAGATCTTTGCAGCATTCTTATTTTTCCTGAAACTTGTATGCTTGAACAGCAGTCTGAGTCGTGCAGCACTTCACTCATTTATAATTCAAAGGAACAAAACTAGTGGTTTTTTACATGCCTACATCATCTTCATAACATACAGAAATATTTTTATTTATTCTTTGGGGCACATTCTGAGCAATGAAGTGGGAGGAGAAAGTGAGGCTAATAGTCAATTTTGCTAATTTGATAAAATATTTGGATTGCTCACATTTACATTTTGCCGTCCGTTTCTCTAACGAGTGTACCACGAAAATGAATTGTCAACTTGTACAGTATGTACTCTCTGGAAATATTAGTTTTACTGAGTATAATGTTTCTTTGTTACTGGTATGTACAATGAAGATGGCAACTTACAGTTTAATATAAAATGTTCAGGAAAACAACGAGGAGTCCAGTGGCACCTTGAAGCCATGCATCTGCAAGCCACGCATCTGAAGAAGTGGGTTTTTTACCCACGAAAGCTTATGCCCAAATAAATCTGTTAGTCTTTAAAGTGCCTCCGGACAACTCATTGTTTTTGTGGGTACGGACTAACATGGCTACCCCTCTGATACTTAATGTTCAGGAAGTCAAGGTTTTACACTTAATATAAGTAGAGTTAATGTATAGTTCTGTACATAGCAATTTTAAGGTTATTTTTTGTGCTAGGTCTAGATTAAACCTCATATTTAATTGTTACACCAGTGCAAACCCAATACACTATTCTTATGGATCTTGAAGATTTACAGCTAGTGGCTATCATTTATGTACAGTGTAGGGAGTTCTACTTGACCTTGGGAGAGTCTGTAATTGTGTGTTCTTGTTTCTGTCTCAGATATAGATGACTTAAAATGTGCTCCCTTTGGAAACTATAACAGTGGCTCCGCAGTAAGTAGCCTTGCAAGCTATGACTGGTCTGACACAGAAGACATTCATCAGAGCAGGAAGCTCTCTTCCTTTGTCCTTTCTTCAGGAAGTGGAGCCTCTTCAGCTACTTCAGTTCTTCAGAAGAAGGAGACTTTGTTTGGCAGTTCAGAAAACGTTACCATGACAACAGTTTCCAAAGTGACCACCTTTTCTACTGAGGATGTTCTACAGGATGTTAAATTTGCAGCCTTCGCAAGCTTTAAAGATCCTGGTCCCAGGTGTCAAAGTGATGATGAGACCGAAGACTTTGGAGAGTTCTCAAGACCTTTGTCAGAAGCGAAGGAGTCAGTGACAGTTGACGCAAGCCCAGAGGTTGGCTTAGCTACCAACGGTATCTTACCTGAAATGGCAAAAGAATGTGTGGATGACTTTGGAGAATTCCAAAGCGAAAAGCCAAAAATTAGCAAATTTGACTTCTTGGTGGCAACTTCGCAAGGCAAGATGAAATCTAGTGAAGAAATGATCAAGAGTGAGCTTGCTACCTTTGACCTCTCTGTTCAAGGTGAGCATGTTCAAGATGGTTCACAGCATATATGCTCCTATCTGCATATTGTGCTATTCCATCAATGGTTAAATGAGAGATTTCTCTTTGGAGCCAGAGCCCAAAGCCCATTGAAATCAGCGTGATTTCCATTGTTTTTCCATTTTCCATTTCCATTTCCATTGACTTCAGAGGGATTTGGATCAAGCCCTTTTAGAGTTAACTATTTTTTGTTTTATATACTGCAAGTATTGTAAGCATTGAATGGGCTTGAAGGTTGAAACTTTAGTCTCATCACCTTGCATGGGGAAGCTTGCATTGCTGTTTTATATGTTAAGTGAACGGAGAACTTCATTCTTCTGGGCTGTCAGTGCAGCACTACACTGATTTTAAGGGCTTTTCTATTGGTATATGCTGTATATAATTAGCTTGTAATATAATTTCTTATAGGGTCTCACAAAAGGAGCTTGAGTCTGGGTGACAGAGAAATAAGTCGTTCCTCTCCTTCCCCAGCTTTGGAGCAACCATTTAGAGATCGCTCAAATACTTTGAGTGAGAAGCCTGCTTTGCCTGTCATCAGAGACAAATATAAAGATCTCACTGGGGAGGTAGAGGTAAGGAATGGTCTGGAAAGCAAGTTAGGCATGGACCAATGCAATATTAAAAATATCCCAAATTCCAGCTGTTTGAGATTATAGCTAGATTTACAGTTTGGGTCATGTTCCTGAAAGGGGTGCTCAGTTCCATGCAGGTTTGGGCCCTTGAACTGTAAAATGCTTGAGAAGGAGATTTCTTGCTAGCTGTCTATAAAGCTGCATGCCACATGTATGGTGCTTTAGGAATAATAAATAGTACCTTGTTGTTTAAAACATTCATGCCAGCTACCCAAACTCAACACTAGGTAAAGTCAAGGTAGTATATTAGTTATACTTCTGTGGCCCATCCCTGCACTTGAATAGATGCACATGTGTAAGAAACAAAGCTGTTGTAAACTGTGAGGAATTGGTAAAATGAATTTAAAGGATAATTAGCCAGATGAACTGCGGTGTACTGGGGGTAGGGGACGCTTCATATAGTTGTTTACTGTTTGAAGCCTATAAATGCATATGTTTGGAAAGGTTTCAGAGTAGCAGCCGTGTTAGTCTGTAACCGCAAAAAGAAAAGGAATACTTGTGGCACCTTAGAGACTAACCAATTTATTTGAGCATAAGCTTTCTTAGTCCCTTTGTTCCCCAATTTATTTGGACAGCTCCTCTTTCCCTGAGCAGGGTTCCAAGACAGCATAAGAATAATCTTCTGTAAAAAGAATGGCTTCATGAAGTCTGCCAGTAAATAGATATTTAGAGCACCACAGTTGGTCTACTTCTTTCTGATGACTCACATCACCTCTGTGACACATTAAGCTCCACTAGGTCTATTTGGGAGGAAAATCAGTTTATGTAACTTCTCATACAGCACTGCTATTTAAGATTTAATTTCCACAGTCATAAATATCTATAATCCAAACATACAGTGTCCAACTTCCTTATTTTTAGTTAGACACATCACTAGAAATCATTTGAGTCACTGTGATCAAGTGGTCTAAGACTGTGTCTGGAAACCAGTAATTCCTAAAATATAATCCCAGTGTTGGCCCTGGGTCCACTGGCTTTGGGAAATCACTTAGACTCTTAATATCTGTCCATACTGTGTTTACTTATTGCACTCACCTATGTAAAGAATTGGTTGTAAAGTGCTTTGAAAATGTAAAGCACTCTATAAAAGTTCTTCCTCAGTAACAAATATGCAACCTTGTGACCTATGCAGCTATGGTAGGCACTTGCAGTTGGAGCTTTCAGCCATTCCGATTTCTTCTTTCGTTATTTTCAATTTGTCTTATAGCTCCTGTGGATCAAATGTTGCAGTTAAGATGCAAAGAGAATATTTACTTTCTATTGGTTGTCCTACTTGTGTGGAAAAAGATGCAAAATATTTTTTTCCCAAATCCATGCTTCAGAACCTTATGTGACGGTCTGCTGTTTTTTATGAACACCGAACCAAAATGAGAAATTAATACAGGAAAATCACATGTATGGTTGGTCTCAAATAGATTACATACTGGGAGAGACAGAATCTTTTCTGTGCCCATTCAGCTGAAGTATAATAAACTATAAAGAATTCAGACTATCCTTGTCTTTTCAAATAGGAAAGCGAGAGGTATGCGTATGAGTGGCAGAGATGTTTGGAAAGTGCCCTACAAGTAAGTGTGTAACCTCTACCAAAATTACCTCCTCTTTTCCGTACAGATCACCTGATATACTCTTTCAGACTCTGAGCATCTGGACAGGGTATGCATGGACCTGTATGAATTGATTTAAAAATTAATGTGTCAATAGACAACAACTAAGTATGTGTATATATAAATTAACCTAACCAGATAGGTCACCGTATCAAGTAAAGCTAGTATCTTATTCTTCGTCACTTAAAGTTAATTTAGCCATTGCCTAAATTTTCAAGTGACTAGTTAATTTGGGCGCTTCAGTGACATCTTATAGGGGCCTGGTTTTCAGAGGGTGGAGGCTCAGCACTTTCAGAAAAGCAGGCCCCTCTAAAATGTCTCAAAGTGGGCACCCAAGATCATGAGTCACTTTTGGTAACTTAGGCCCTTATGTTTGCAGCTACAATAGTTCTCCTCCTTGAAGTGTTGTTTTGTTGGATTAATGGATAGTAAACGTTGCCAAACATCACTTTTAAACAAAATTCCTGAACACATGCTTACATTTCCATCAGCAAAAAGGACAGTTGAATGAAGATGAGTTGATTTCTAAACATGGCCATTCCTCTACCCTGGTCTGTATATAGTTATAAGCAAGAACAAATTAAACCCATGTGACGGACTATACCAACTCTCCTGCTAATTGCATTAATCTCTCTTTAGTACAGCAGTTTCTCTTTTTTGTAATTTTGTTTGTAAAAGTTACTTCGAGGTAAATAAACTGGTGGTATAACCAGCATCCTTTCTGCTAGGTCATTAAGAAGGCAAATGATACCCTAAATGGAATCAGTAGTTCATCTGTTTGCACTGAAGTCATCCAGTCGGCACAAGGCATGGAATATTTATTAGGTATGTTTCATTTTCTTATGTCTCTTACATTAAGTGTGTCCCCATTTAAAATAAGAGGATGTTATTAATTGTTTCCAAATGGTGTCCTTAGCTTAATGAATTTCCAAACTGGAATGATGAGTGACTCTTTAGCCAAATGAATATAGCACAATAATTTTGAAACAGATTAAGGTGGTCACATGTTTCTCAATGTCTATTAGGTGCTCTTTCTGAGTCTCAGTTTTGGGAATTTCTGGTATGCTCTGCTTGGGAGTTAGCAACTTGCCTATAATTCTCCACTCTAATTTTGACAGGGGTTGTTGAGGTCTATAGAGTAACAAAACGAGTTGAACTGGGTATCAAGGCCACCGCAGTGTGTAGTGAGAAACTCCAACAGCTGCTAAAGGACATTGATAAAGTATGGAACAACCTGATAAGCTTCATGTCACTTGCTGCTTTAACGGTAAGGCCATAATTAAGCTGCCTCTTTGTTACAGGAACCCTCATGTTTAAATACATGGATGGAGCATTACATATGGTTATGTATTATGACACCTTGAGGAGTCACTTAAACTCCCTGTTCCTTATTTTCTCCATTTGTAAAATGAGGGTAATAGGCAACTTTGTGAATTGGTTTGAGCTCGTCAGGTGAAAAATACTGTGTGGGTGCAAGGTGGTGGGGTTGCCTCATTTTCTAATGATTTCGATAGTATATCTGCTCATCATGTAATTTAAATTAGACAAACATGAATCTAGAAAGGAAAAATAAGTGCCTTCATGACACTCCAGAAGTGAGCTTCCCGAGTTCTCGTGCTCTGCTTCGCCCTGCGGGAGACTGACTAGACGGCAAGATCTTCCAAGTATTACGTGTCTTACTCTGGTTTTGGGAAGTGCCTAGCCCATTTTGGGCACTGCTGCAAACTAAGTAATAATGCTTGTTTTGAGCTCTTTCCCTCCTCTGGCTGGAACTGCCATAGCCAGATGCAACTTGCTAGCTCTGGGATGGAAGAGGAAGTGCTTCTCTTCTCTCACAGCTTCGTGGGTAGCCAGTTGGGAGAGCGCTGTTGATGACATATAAAGAATGGTTCTGTGTAGTTTTTAGATGACTAGTGACTGAGAAGAGGAGCATCCACACTTGCAGGGAATTTAGAGGTAATGGGGTGAAGAAAGAGCTACTTGGGGCTCAGGATCAAGGAGTATCCTTCCTTGATAGGGGGGGACGGGGAGAGAGATGAACATTTAAAAATAGAAGGCAAGAAAATTCTAACTTTCCATTAAGCTTTTTCCATTTTTAACCATCATCTTTGGTTGCAATTAAATACTGTGCGTGTAGAATAGAGATGGGTACAGATATATAATGGATTTTTTTGGCAGGCACTTAACCACAATAATGGTTCAGCACATTTTGGGGGAATCATTAATTTGGGGGACATTGACATGATCCACTGTAATGGTTGCTTTGAACTCAGTGCATAGTGAAAGAGCCTTTAATCCTTAGATTAAGACCAGTGTATCATGTCCAGGATTAATAAATGCGTCATTTCCACAATACTCTCTCCTATCACTGAATCCTTAATTCACAGATCCCTGCATGCAGAGTAATCATGCATATTAAAAATCCTACTGTCACATTTATCGAGAAGTAGTTGCAAGGTGAGATCTGGTATGCTGGTTTTCCACTTGAAATAAACTTTTTACAGTCCCTGAAAAATGGAGACAACAAATGATGGGCATCTCCTCTCTCCCACCTCATCCGTACCACATATTGGTGGCAAACAGATCTTAATAAAACCTTGTCAGATTCTGACTGGCTTTATCTAATGCAACAATTGATAACGTCAAACTGTTGTTGCTCAGTTTTAGGACAGGTTGAGCTATCAGTGGACACCTAGGCATTCTCCTCTCAAGGTAGATAGTTGTCATCAAAAATGCTGTTTCGAATGTAAAAGATTTCTTAACATTCATGCAGGATTCTTTCATATTTAAATTGGGTGTATAAAGTATTGATATATTAGTAAGTACTTCAGAGTATTTTGTAATTAGTGGCCAGATTGTGATTCCCTTTCTTTCACGCTGTAGAACCTTATTCCATTTGTAGTCCTATTGACGTCAGCAGGACTACTCACGGAGTAAACGACTCTTCAGTGTGAGTGAGAGTGTCACAGTCTGGCCTTAAGCTAGGATGTCCAGTATTCAACCAGTAATTGTTTGGTAGGTAAGTCTTTTTCCCCAGTTAAAGGCAACAAAGATGTATAGAACTTTGTCGCTGCCTTGCTGTCTGATCGTGATGTAAAAAGAAACCATCACTCCTAAATTGTTGAGAATCTTTGGCTGGTGTGGTGCATCCCTGTGCACATGATCCTGTCGGTAGCTCTCATGTTTGTTTCAACATTCAGTTTTGCCACAACTTTGCCCTCATGTGACAAAACACGACCATTGGTGAGCAGAGCGCATGTGGGGAAAAATTCTTGCCTCTGGTGAGCAAGGCAAAACGTGTTTACTAGGTTTGTGAAATGGCACATTTCGCTCAGGGTGGATCTTACTACAAAGAGAGGCAGTTTACATCAGAAAATTTGAAGCCAGGACCTGAAGAAAATCTGGTCTGTGAGGCTTAGGCAATTGTGTGGTGTTTCTGTTGGGGTTGAGGGAGGGCTAGAATAAATTATTCACATTTTTTCTCTCTCCTTTCTTCCATCCTTCCCTCCCTGACCCACCAACCTAACTCCCTAGTGACAACTGTGAAATTTCATCCTGAGTTACAATCAAGGGGGTTTTTTGTTTGTTTTAAACATCTGACTTCAGTATACAATTCCCAACCCATATATTGGTCCTTAACCAGTCATTTACCAGCATAGCCAAATAAGGTTTTTGACTTGGGAGGATCAGAGTATTGCAGCACATCTCCACAACATCTACACTCATATTTTTTTAAGTTTTAAACCAATAGCAAATGACTGGCTTTGGTTTTGTTTTAAAAAGCAGATAATGGATCTGCTTGGTACCTAATGTATGGCACATCCCTTCCTGTAAAATTACAATCATGGATTCTAAATGGAGCAGAAGTGCCTGTTAAGTACATACGAGTCCTCTAGCTCGCAGGCGTGTGCTTGAAAAGGTTAATTTTATCATTTAAAGGATTAATTTCATTACAAGGTAATTTTATGCATAGCCTTATGGTTTTTCATTGCAAATTACTGTATGACCTTCTCATTTGCTTCACTCATGCATTTGATAAACAAATATTAGTACCTTTATTAATTTGATTGATCTACTCAAAGATTAAAGGTTTTTTTCAGGATTCCAATTATTTCTTAAATTGTTCAGCTATGGGATTGTGATTAGAATACCTAGAGTATGGATTACAAGTATGCATCTGTTTTAGGATCACCCAGAATTTTTAAAAGCCTCTTGCATTTGTATTGCTATGCATTGCTTTTGATTGTTTAAACATTACACATTACAACAATCTTGCAAACGAGCTTCAGTGTTTATACACCACCCAAATGCAAAATTACATTGACCATTTCTCTTGTCGCCTAAATGTAAAACGGTGCATCAGGAAAGCTATACTACATACTGAGCTCTCTTTTCTGCTTAAACACACAATTGTCCTCCCACTCCTTTTCATAACATAAACTAATGTACAAAATAAAACAATTAGCCCTCTTAATTGTTGCCTAGTTTGGGCAGCCATTAATACTCAGTTGTGTACTGATATGCCCTCATTCCAGATGCAGGAAAATCCTTGACTACTAACTGCCCTTCTATGGTTAGACATTAGTGCAAAATTGTGAGTGATCAACGTTAACCCTAGTTACCAATCTGGAAGCTGCACTAGCCACAATGGTAATTTATCCCATGGTATCTTTATAACTGCAAATAATATGTTGCCTACCTGTGTATATACATAGAATTCAAATATTCTCTCCTCTGTTACCTAATCCTTTTACAAGTGCTTGAATGTGGTAAATTAATGTCCATGGAGATTACATAGTATGCTTGAAAATATGCTAATGGCTTTGATTACAGTGGGCATCAATTTATGGGCATGTGTAGTATGTTATCTTTGCCCTGTGACTTTGTTTGCCTTCGTGCCCCTCCACAGCAGCCGCACCGGTAATTCGTCATAATGCGTGTGAATTTTTTTTTCCAGTGACTGAAATTGCCTAAATCCAACTGTCTCGTTATTTCTGTAGCCAGATGAAAACTCGTTGGATTTCTCTTCTTGTATGCTGCGTCCTGGGATTAAAAATGCCCAAGATCTCGCATGTGGGGTGTGTCTCTTGAATGTAGATTCTAGAAGTAAAGTAAGTGGAGGCGCCTTTATGCCAAACCCATTTTGCATTTACTACTTTAATTCTCTATCTGTGCCTAGTCTATGCTCACAAACTTCCTCGCTGTATTTTACCACCGACGGTAGCAAAGGTGGAATCCATATGGTAGGCAAGCTCAAACATTGTTACTACCACATCCTCTGGAAGATTAACTCCCCTCACCAACGCTCAACAGGCATGGGAGAGATGTGACTGGTGGCAGTTGTGTATAAAGGCTGAGACGGTAAATTCATTTATAAAGGGCAGCATGGGGAACAGACTTGGAAGCTGAGATTATTTAAAAAAAAAAAAAGCTTGTAATGAATTTTCCATATAAAATGTACCTGTGCCTATGAAGCCAGGTGGGGTTCATTGCCTTCAGTGTGGGGAGGAGGGACCCCAGAATAGAGACAGCAGTGAATAGCTGACCAATTCATATACATCAGGAGTTTTGTTGATCTTTTGGTTTCAACATTATTTCAGAAAGAAGAGAAACCTGTGGAAGAGCATCCTAGGAAAGTACGAATGAGTAAAATGATACTCTTTATAGATTCATCTTCTTAATTATGAGCGTGGAAGGCAAGACTGGTGACCAGCCTTCCGCTGTCATTCTCAATTGTACCAATCATGAACCCTTTTCTTATAGTCATTTCTGTGACTGTAACATCCAATTTGATCAACTAACACGTGCTCGAGTCCTCCCCCTTGTCTTGTCTGCATGCCAGTATATTGTGAATAACTTCCTGGTTTTTGTACTACTTTTGTTGTGTGGTAGATAATTCACTGTGATGAGTTTCTGAACAACTACAGCTTCCCGGTTTCTTGTTGTGGAAGGAGAATTGTAGCTTTCATGTGAGATAAGCTTTGACTTTTTGTCTTACAAAGCGATGCTCCAGCTGTTGCTTTGGGATAACACAAAGGCTATCGTGGTTTTAGAAATCCAGAGTAAAAATGTTTTGCAGGTTCCTTTTTTTTTTTTAAACAAATTTTCAGCAGTATTCCGGAAGGTAACCCTAAGCTCTTCGAGAGAGCCTTGCAATAGGGAATTACAATGAAAAGCTGCTAGCTGTTCTGTTGTGGAACGAGAAAAAAAATTAATCTTTTCCCCAAAAGAGCTTATGTAAAATAAGCCCTGTAACTGCTTTTTTTGTGGTTGTTTACTCAGACATCTAAGCACTATCTCCTACTAGCAACGACTACATCAACCCCCTTCAGATATTCTTCATCTTGTTCATAGATTTTTCACTCTTTATTCAAAAAGGTTTTCTTATAAAGTAGCTGCACCTAACAGAAGACACTAGACCAAACTGAGCCCTGCAGTAAGCAGACGCAACTTTGGTATCAGAGGAGTTGCAACCTCTTAAATCACGGAGTAATTTGTCCCAGTGAATGAAATAATTTGAAGTCTATAGTTATGGGCTGGCCTAACAAGTTATCTCTGAGGTACAGTACAGTGTACTGTTTCCTGCCTATAGAAGATAATTAGTGAGAGATGCATGCAGCAAGTTGGATCAGCTCCCAGGTATGAGGTCAAATGTAATGCTAATCAAACCATGTCCACTACTAAAACCTGGTGTAGTGACTGAAGCTTACAACTTCAGCCATTGCAGTTGCGGATGTGGTCTGCCTTCAGAAATTCTTGCAGACTACAATGAAATTTTGTTTGCCATTTGGCCCATTTCTGCAGTTGAGGATGGTGTCTACAGAGTGAGAGGGTCGAGGTCTGATGCTACTGTGCCTTCTTAGTGTAAACACATCTGCAGATATCTGATCTCCTCTTTAGCTCTTACATCCCTGAGCAGATGGGACTGTCACACTTGTTTCAATTTTTGTTATTCTAGGCTTTTAATTCAGAAACGGATAATTTCAAACTGGCTTATGGAGGGCACCAGTACCATGCAAGCTGTGCAAACTTCTGGATCAATTGTGTGGAGCCGAAACCTCCAGGCCTCATTTTGCCAGACCTGCTTTGAAAGAACGTACGTTGAAGGAGGGATCACGTCAGTCAATGACAAGACATGGTCTTTATGGTGGTGATATAGGGGAATAAACACTGAAGGCTTTTTTGAGCAGTGGTTACTGAAATGTTCATTTCTGCATTTCTTCTGTACTGCAATGGGTCAAAGCCACTCTCCCATACGAGTTCCCCATGAAGAATTTCACTGGAAGGTTCAAGCCATCATTGAGGTTTTCAGAAATAACCAGAGAATTTTGTACTGTGGCATAAAACATGGCATTTCAACCTCTCTCTCAAGCTGGAATTGGTTAGCACTTTTTGAGATGTAGCAACTCACTGTGGTGATCAAGGCAAATTGACTCATGAAGTGGAATAGGTCTTACCGTTTCAAGAAAGAGATGAAATACTAGGCTGTGTGTGTTTAAACTGAAATGGCCCCTTAACCAAATGCATGAAATGTGTATTTGCTAACTATTCTTTCCTCTAACTTAAATATATGAACCGAGAGTGGTGGTTTTTCTTAGATATTTGCTCCTACGCTATTAAAATGCACAAAAAGTGACAGTAATGTTCAAGCAGAAATAAGTTATTGACCTAGAAGGAATTGGATTGTTAGGCTGCAATGAGCCATTGTTTGTTTATAGAATTATTGTTCTGTATTACAGAATACATTTTATTCCTACATTTAGCGGGTTAGTATTGGGATAAAAATCATTGTATATCTAAATTTTCCATACCATATCTTTAGGCTTCAGAACAGGCAGCTGGATTTTAAAACATGCAGTCTCTTCTACGTGGCTGTAAGTAGTAGACAAACCTTTTTACCCCTCTATTGGATTTGTCCTATAACTGCAAACATAGGGGATATACTTTCAAAATGATGTATTATGCATTTAGCCCTCTGTCCTTTGTTATGTAATCATATAACTAAATTGCTGCACATCATGTTGAAAATCATACCCCACTAATATCAAACGCCCCTCCTGTATATTTCACTACATATTTGTGGTGTATGACTATGCTTTTCTTGATGGGACTCCTCTGCATGTCTCATGCAATTTAATATTGTCTATCAAGGCTCTTTACCAGACTCTCTGAACTGATGGCACTGGTTGGCTTTGAGTTTGCAGTTCAGATATTAGCTTTTTCACACTGGAATTTGAGATTTCCCAGCAGACTGCACAAATGCGAAATACGTGGGGGGCTTTTTGGCAGGTGCTGCTGTCTGGACAGTAAGAGATTAATGTATCAGGCTATCGGAAAATGTTACTCACAAATCTAGACGTATAGGGCTCTTTCTTTAGAGACAACATCAAGATGACAGTGCAGAATACAAAAATAAAATACGTTTGCTGTGAAGACAGCTTCCCAGTTCAGAAAGAACATAACGGTTCTTGAATTTCTGAATTACTAATTGCTTTACAGAATTTTTAATCCAAAGGAAATGTGCTTTTATTTCAAAAGGGCCTTACCACTATATGGCCTCTTAGTTTTGACTCTCAGTGAGGAAAGCAAGAGTTGCTGTTTGTTTCCTCGGTATAACTGATGATTTCATTGTTCATTGATTTATTGTAGTTTCTCAAACAGACCTTGAGAGAAGCTTCCTTCTTTCCAAGATGTCATCAGCTGCTCAAACCAAGCCTTGTCTCTGTTCTAAGTAAATAGCTACTGCTGACCTGTGGTTTTCATTTCCTGTGAACAAAATTGCATAGGTGATAAAAATGGTTTGTCTAGTTCTAGTCACAGATTAATATATACCAAATGAAAGAGATCTTGGCTAATAAGAATGCTAAGTGAATGACCCTTATTTACATAAAGTAAATTTAAAATAGATCTTCCTAGTCTCAGAAACCTGCTTATTCATCTAATGGTAACATACTGCGCCTTCTGGTCTCAGACCCAAGTTAATCAAGTGGCAGCTTTTCAATAACGTAACAGTCAGCACCCACCTTCTGCTGTGCAGTTTATCAAAGCAACCTGATTTCTGATTGACTGGCCACTATTTTACTAACTAGTCGTGTTGTATAAGTGCAATAGACCTCAGAACAGCTCTTTGACAAGATAATTGTCCCCCTCAGCAAATACTACTTGTGTCACCTTGACCATATGCTTCTTGCCATGCCATATGCTGCTATATAGTCCTCATCATGCCTTGTGCTTACTAATGCAAGTCGTCCCACTGACTACTCTAGGACTTACAGTAGTAAGTTAGCAGGGTCGGACCCTTAGGCCCTGATTCAGCAAAGGACTTAAGCAAACACCTGATTTGTGCCTCTGAAAGCAATGGCACTATTCGCATGCGTAAGTACTCTGCTGAATCAAGGCAATAGCTTGTATAAATACTGTATTGGGACAAGGGAAGCCTTTTATTAGCGTAGGCTTTCTCCACGGCTCTTCTTCTTTTTTCAACCCTCCTATGAGTTTTAAGAGCATGGCCCAAGCTAAAGTAGCTCCAGTGTGGAAACTCTACAGCAAATTTGTATTCCAAATACAGTACAGTTCATTGCACTGTGGCAAAAGTCTATTCTAATTACATTCTTTTTTTAATGTACTCGCTTGTTAAGCAAATACGTTGTCTCTGTTAGAAATATCCAGCATGTCTTTGGCACGTAAATAGAGGGAAAGGGCATTTACGGGTATAATTACAGTAGAGCTTATCGGAGTATGGCATTACTAGTCCCCTGCTCTGTACAGAATGGGAAAGAGGCAGGCAATACTAAAGTGATCATGTCGAGCAAAATGCATATTTCTAAACACCTTCAAAGGGTTCTCATGACGTGAATGTTTTACATTTAGATACCACTGATAAGGGCATTACACAAGAAGGATCATTCCACTTACATATCCTAGTCATTAAAATGATTCAGTGTTGCATTCAGCTTCTGAGCTATTATACTGTTAGCCAAGGGCCCAGTGTCCTTGGAAACTGTATCCAAGGTTACAACATTTTCTACACTGGATTGTATCGGACCATTTTCCCTTGCTTTCCTTGAGTGTAGGTTAACGCGCACACTGAGACTTTTAGTCTTGGCCTGTGGTGTTTTAGAACTGTAAATGAATTTCTTTTTGGATGTCTTCTGTTTCATTATCAAAATTTGTGAAAGTGAATATTTTTAATGTACATATTCTCTGGATTTGCCTTAGGATTGCCTAAGGAAAATTATTTTTATTTGTGTTCTATGTGTGTCTTGATTTTTAACAGGTTATTTTCTTGGTTAATTTAAATTTTTTTTCTATACTGTGCTCCATAGGTTCCTAATGGTGCAGTCTGACTAATTTTCTCAGTGGAAATATACTAAAGTCATCTTTCCTTCCAGTACTAATAGGCATTAGGGATAAATCAAACTGTACCAAGATCTCTCTTGATAAACTGGTTGTCATGTGACTTTTTAAATACCCCAGCAAGCTTTCTGACCTCTCTTTTCGTTATAAAGTTTTTTTTTATTTGTTACATGTGAATTATTACAATCTGCACTTGAACATTCCAGTGAGTTTTCAGCCCCAGCAGCAGTTTGTTTCTACTTAAGTTTATTTTGAAACTAAATTAAGTAGCACTTTCTTGGAAAACCATGTAGTAAATGTGAAGTTACGATGACGTACGGTCTAAGAAAAAGAAGCTTGTGAAAACCCAAGAAATATATTCTTTCCTAATTAGTTACATGTTAAATTAATGAGACCTGGAACAGAAAGGATGCCTTTTCAATAAAAGCTGCTATTGTACGACTACTTTTCCTTAAAGATCTTTTGCTCTCTGGGCCTTCATTTAATTCTGATTCTCAATGTTAAAATATAAACGTAATAGTTGTATTTCTTCCTGCATCTGGGTGAATATACATTTCTCTTGTGTAGATGGCTTTGTGATTAGTATAGCAGTGGATCCTCTTGTTTTAATTTGTGATGTGCTGGAGTAGTTGCCGGTATTTTAAACCTGGTAAGAATAGTTTTTATTACTTTACATTTTAATATGATTTACTTCACGTATTCTTGCAACAGTTTATAAATGCTTTGTTGAATCTCGATGAAATGTTGATCTCAATAAAGAACTCTATTTATGACAAATCTGTACGGTGAATTGTTGCAGGATGCAGCCAGTAGCGTGTTGCAGTGTGTTACCGATTCACATTGACATCTCACCCTTCATACTCTGAGAGAGCGCCTGGCTATGTGTTTAGGTGGGTTCTGATGGGACTTTTCCACAGGAATGAGGTGGAATCTTTCCCACTTTGGTGGGGGATCTGAGAAGCTTCCCACCAGCAAAACATACTTGGGAACTGCATTGATTTTTATTTTAAGTGTTGTGCAGATACTACATCTTGTTTAAATACAGAAGAAACAAACACTGAGAGCTGACATGTTGAGTTTGGTGGTAGCATTAAGTACCCGTGTCTGGCTCTGACTCGGCAAAGCACATATATAGTTAAACATATGCTTAAGTGATTTCCCGGGTCAGTGGATAACAATGCACCCCATAGGTCTACACTAGATTGGAGTGATTTTTTTTTTTTTTTGGTCTAGTGGCCAAAGATGCCATTATTTCTAAGCTATATCCATAACGCCCAAAGCACGGTTACCAATAAGTCACTTGTACCCATAGGTCCTATGATAAAAATGCAGCCTGGAAGAAAAATGATTGTGCTGTCATAAGGTCTCAAGACTGCTTAGTCTATAAGCCTTGACATTGGTTTGATAGTACAAAATTAGGAGCAACTCAGTGAATTTTAACATGAATACATTTATGCTGTGCCTTTTAGCATAACAACTGGGGCAGGCCTCCTAATTATGCTGTGAAAGTAACTTGAGAAAAAACAGAAGTGCTTGAACTGCATAATGTTTTGGCTTTGACTCTCTTCTACGCTGAATTATTGGAAAATTAATATCAAGTCTCTGGGTAGAAACGAGACCAGCCTCATAATAAAGCACTCCTGTATTTGCACACCGTACTCCATGATTAACACATGTTTGAGATGCCTCACCTAGCAACCTGGAGAGTGTGATCCCTTGAAAATGGCCTGCAGTGGGTGTAGAGAACTATTTAAATATATAGAGATGAGAACTTCCTGTTAGCAAAAGCGTTATCTGTATGGAAGAATTCGCTTTTCAACAACACCACCACAGAGATGTTTCAAGATATTTCAGATTCATCAACTGGTGGCAATACTGGAGTTAATAAATCTACAGCTCTACCTTTAACTTTGCTGGTAGTTTATAGATGGCTGTCTTGAGGATTCTTAGTCCCTAGGGAGGGTTTTTGTGTTAATCGTCTGGAAGAAGCACAGGACAGGGAGTTGGAGGATTTGGGTTCTAGTCCTCGGTCTGCCACAGTCATTTTGTGTGTCCTTGGCCAAATCACTTAGCATCTCTCTGAGTGAAATCCTGACTTCATTGAAGTTAATAGCAAAACTCCCACTGACTTCAGTGGGGCAAGGATTTCGTGCCCTGTGCTTTAGTTAACTCATCTGCAAGGCACCACAATTTAAGAAAGATGTGAACAAACTGGAGTGAGTCCAGAGGAGAGCAACAAAAAATTGTAAAAAGTTGATCAAACCTGCCCTATCGGGAAAGGGTAAACAAAACTGGCTGTGTTTGTCTTGATAAAAGAAAAAGTTGGGGTGGGAAGACCTGATGAGTCTTCAAATATGCTAAGGGCTGTTTTAAAGAGGACAGTGATCAATTGTTCTCCATGTCCACTGAAGGTAGGACAAGAAGAAATTGGCTTTACCCACAGCAAGTGGGGATTTAGGTTAGACATTAGGAAAACCTTTCTAACTGTAAGGGTATGTAAGCTCTGGAATAGATTTCCAAAGGATGTTGTCAAATCCCGGTCATTGGAGGTTTTTAAGAACTGGTTAGTCAAATACCTGTCAGGAATGGTCTAAGTCAGTGGTGGGCAAACTACGGCCCATGGGACACCTCCGGCCAGTGGGCCCCTCCTGCCCGGTCCCTGAGCTCTTGGCCCGGGAGGCTAGCCCCCGGCCCCTCCCTTGCTGGTCCCCTTTCCCCCTGCGAGCTCTTGCCAGGCAGGGCAGCTGCAGAGCCACAGCCCGACCCGGTGCTCTGTGCTGCGCGGTGGCATGGCTGGCTCCAGCCGGTCGGCACGGCTGCCTGTCCTGGTGCTCTGGGCGGTACGGCTGTAATGCCGCCAGCCACCGGTGCTCCAGGCAGCGCGGTAAGGGTGCAGGGAGCAGGGGGGGTAGGGTAGAGGGTAGGGGAGTTCGGGGTGGTGGTCAGGAGGCGAGGGCATGGATGGGGTTGGGGTGGTCAGAGAGCGGGGAACGGGGGTTAAATGGGGGCAGTCAGGAAGGAGGGGGGCAGTCAGGGAGAAGGGGTGGTTGGATGGAGCAGGGGTCCCAGGGGGGCAGTCGGGAAGGAGGCGGGGTTGGATGGGGTGGCAGGGGGGCAGTCAGGGGCAGGGGTTCTGGGGGCGGTCAGGGAGAAGGGGTGGTTGGATGGAGCAGGGGTCCCAGGGGGGCAGTCGGGAAGGGGGGGGTTGGATGGGGCAGTCAGGGGTAGGGGGTCCGGTGCCGGTCAGGGGACAGGGAGGGGTGGATGGGGCAGGGGACTGGGAACAGGGCGGGTTGGATGGAGCAGGGGTCCCAGGGGGGCAGTCAGGAAGGGGGGGGGTTGGATGGGGCAGTCAGGGGTGGGGGGTCCGGTGCTGGTCAGGGGACAGGGAGGGGTGGATGGGGCAGGGGACCGAGGACAGGGAGGGGTGGATGGGGCAGGGGACCAGGAACAGGGCAGGCTGGATGGGGCAGGAGTCCCGGGGGGCTGTCAGGGCGAGAAGAAGTGGGGGTGGGATGGGGGCCAGGCCACGCCTAGCTGTTTGGGAAGGCGCAGCCTCCCCTAACCGGCCCTCCATACAATTTCAGAAACCCAACGTGGCCCTAAGGCCAAAAAGTTTGCCCACTCCCGGTCTAGGTGTACTTAGTCCTACATGAGCACAGGGGGCAGAACTAGATGACCTCTTGTGGTCCCTTCCAGCCCTCCATTTCTATTATTCTAAAAAGGGGAAAGAAACTTCCCTCCTGCACTGAGGAACTGAGCCTAAATTTGTTCATGTTTTTGAAGTACATGGAGATCCTTGCATTGATAGACGGCTAGCGAAATGCCAGGCTTCATAAATGTGTGTGTACTAAGGCAACGTTGCATTTTTGTTAACACCCCACGTTTTCACTTGCTGTTTTGTCTAAACCTACCACAGTTAATAGAGATAAATGTAAAAAAGGGGTTTCAGTGGAATTGGGTCTACACATATAAGGAAAAATAACCATTTGGGACACTTTAAATGTCTGTGCTCTTGAAAGCATTAAGGTATTTTATAACCACTTCATTTTAACAGTGGTCTCATTACGCCCAAAACCTTAGATCCATGTATTTGTTGAGCCTACAGCTGACGTGGTTTCCGTGGATGCTTCTCATTTCTATGCCTCAAGAGGTAAGCCGAGTTCTCCCTTTTATATCTCCTTGCACCATTATCCCACCAAACGCAGTAAGTGGGCTTGGGGCCCAATTCACTGGCCACTGGCTTCAATGGGAGTCATTCCATTGACTTCATTGGACACTGAATCTGACCCTAGAAGCTAATGTAGCATTTTCTTTTCCCAGTAGATGATTTTCAGCAAGTGGTACCTGCCCACTGTGGTGAAATTCAGATCTTCACAGTTCATTTGAAAACTTATTTCCAGTACTGAGTTAATCAAAGTGTATCTCTTGGATTCAGGCCAACCCCTCTGTCATGAATCCGTTTAGATTGTGTTTTCCCACTGATGCATGTGCAGCTCAGGCTATAGAGACTTGATTCTGATCCCATTTAAACGCTGTTTTTTCACAAGGGACAACTTCATTGTTTTCAGTTGTTCTGATTTACCCTGGAAGACCAGAATCCTGCCCACTAGGTTGTAGACTCTACTGTCTGGTGCAACAAATCATTATGACAAACACATCGATCACTTCCAATACTTTTCTTAAACCAGAATATCAGCATTTCGGAAATTCAAATACAACTCCAGACGATAAAAATGCAGTAGTGAGCCAAATTCAGTGCTTGACTTTTCTGTAGTGAGAGGTCTATGTTAGTGTGTCTTGAAGGTCTAGATTTAGTGTACACAATTTAGTCAAGGTACTGGTAACTGATTACAAGTTTTAATAAAAATGCATTTGTATTTGTGATTTGTATTAACGTTACTATTGAAGCTTAACCAGTGTTGTTGCTGGAAATTCAGAGACGGTAAGAGCCCGAGTATGAACAGGAACTCCTGAGTTCTAGTTTTAATCTTTATTAAGATTTGTTACAAGGATAGTCTCTCATTTAAATCAGGTATCTATCTCTCTGTATCCAGAAATCTGCATGTTCCTCCTTTAGCGATACAGGGAAGGCCACAAACAGTCTTGTTGAGTAAGATACTTGCTTTGTTCTTTCGATGTTCCAGCTATGTTTGTTAGTGATAGGCAAGGATGTGGATAATACTCATAACTCAGCTGTCATATCATCTAGTATCTTCTACCACTTTTCAAGTTAGAATCTCTCTTTCTCATCAGAAGCAAAACAAAACAGACTTCTCAATAAAGACACCTTTGTACAGGAGGTTTAACAGATTAACGTATTTTGCTTAGAAAAATTCAGGAATGCAACGTAATCCTTGAGGCCATAACACTGTGAATCAGAAAAGATCTGAGGCAGGTCATGACTATACTTACAGCTAAGTTATCAAGCAGATTTATCTACTTTCTATTTACCGGTTGACTGAATACTAAAAAATACAGCTCAACCCCTTTGGGAGGGTAGCTGTGTAGACAAAGCTTCATTTGGCTGGCCAGTGTGGGAAAGGTTAACCCATCACTTCTGTACTGATCTTCACTTTGAAATGAGCTCTGTTGTTTGCCCCCCAGTCATGCAAACACTTACTAATGACATAACATTATTCAGGTGTATAAATGCTCGCAGGAACTGCTACCCTGATGTGGACTAGGGGGCGGGGGAGGGACATGGCAGCATTCATTTGTCTTAGTTGTTTAAATTATTTTATTTATGACCGGCTTTGACTGGCTTAACTACTTAT